TAAGAAACTCTTACAATCGTGGTCATATGCTAATGCCTCGATATTTTTTGGTTCAGACTTGGTTTTAAAATGAAAGCGCTACATAGAACCTTACTGATTTTCCAACTAATATATCTATATATAGATCACATAAATGGAAGCGCATTTAATGTAGACATGGGAAATTTAAACTGGACACCAGTAAGGCTGATACCATCAAGATACCTATATATTAAACAATTTGTGAAATCTTTTAGAGACTGGGTGAAAAAGGGCTGAATTAAACTCTTTCACATCTAAGAAAATTTAAACTTAATTCCAGGAAAGCTGATACTCAAAATAGTTCCAAGATTTAAAAATAACATTCGATGATTTCAAGACGTAATTCAATAACCCCCCAAAACAAAGTTTTTCGTATAAATTCTTTATAAAATGTAATTTCGAGTAATGGGGGAGGGGGTAAAAAAATGTAGCAAAACATTTATACAAATAACGAACTTTATGAGAAACCCAATTACCCCCCCCCCCTTCCCCCCTCCCACCAAGCTCGCAACAGAACATTTTTTCCACGCCTCTGAACTCTATTAATATTCTTCTGAACCACCCGCTTTTACACCGCAGATTTATTTCAATAATTATATCAGCAAAAAAAAAATATTACGTACCAAACGCACTTGCGATATTTAAAAAACCCACCTCATTTAGTGTAGTAATCTGAAATTTTATTTGACAGGAAAAACTAATTTTTGGGGTGTTGGGGGTGGGACTCAACAACGAGTCTATGTGCAAATTAGCAACTTGATATGTTGAAGGGAATAGGGCCAATTAGCCGTCCGAAGATTTTGCTAGTCCGCAACTCGCGCTACCACGAACAAAAATGAAGTTAATATAAAGGATTTAAAAGGCTTTATTTGAATACTTAAATTACACTCTTAATTTTAATGTCACACTTAATTCCCAAGATTTTATAGCTAGTAATAGTGAGTAGAAAGATTTTATTTGTCTCGGGTCTGACATATGCATTGTTTTTCAGAAAAACAATTCCCTTTTATCACTCTAATATTCTCCAGAATGCAAAGAATTTTTTTTATGACACCAACTGTTCAACTCCATGCAACTGTAACAAGAATAACACAGATTACTGTAACAGTACTACGGGGCAGTGCATATGTAAACCACACTGGACATCTCCTGATTGTACAGTAGACAAAAATGAATGTCTGGTAGATCCACTGGCATGTCCAAACTATTCGGACTGTAAAAATCTCCAACCTGGTTATCAATGTGACTGTAAGATGGGACTGGAGAAAGACGATCAAGGACACTGTATACGTATGTTACTGTTTTTACATTTTGATAGTTTTTATTAGCACAATTTATTAAAATTATTTATTTACTACACACTTAATAGTTAAAAATATATTACCATAAAAAATTGCATTAGATCTGGTATATAATATAGTAAAAATTGAAAAAAATCACACATGCATAATTGGGAGATATTGTTTCGCTGTGCCCGGTTTGAATATTGATTGGAACGGAATGGACCTCAAAATCAACGTTCACAAGAGTTATAACCAATCTGGCTTTTTTTAAAGATAATTTTTAAAATGTTAACTGGTACTTGAGAGAAGCGTTTTTGACAGCGCCCCAAAGCTACTCGTACGCTGGTAACGCTTAAGACGTTTTATTTTTCATAAGTACAAAGCTGGCTATATGGTCTAGTTTAAATATATAAAATAAATGTTTTAAACTTAGACTAATAAAAAACTGCAATTAAAATTGCATAAAATCAAAAAGCCAAATTTAAGGTGAATCTTTTTAAAGGTAATTTTTATAAGATTTCTACTTCTCTTGGGTCGTAACTACATGGAAGTTATATTTTTAATTTTTATTTTTTTATTCTGACTACGTTTGAACTGAAATTTTGTGTGCCCAGGAAGGCTAAAGTATACCTATTGGCAAATGCGTAGCTAAGGGGGAAGAGAGGGACCGATGATCCGGAGCTGAGAGAGGTGCAAAAATTAATCTTGTGCCCGGGTGCCAAATACTCTAACAACGCCTCTGCTGAATGTTTTTTTTTTTGGTGTATATTATTCAATAAGTCACACAGGCCTGCAGTGAGCTTGTAATTAAATGTCGTTCCACGTAATCAGAAGAAAATATAATGCAAATGCGGTCTTTTGAAGACCACTGCCCTAGTTGACGGCTATACTTTGATTTACTTCACTTCCTTTGTTGCTCTCAATTTTACATTTCACTGCGTCATAAGAAAATTTAAATACATTTTGTAGGATTTAGCCACTTAATTCAAATTTCAACTATCTTATAATAGTGAGTAGCAATAGTTGTAAAAACGATATGCCATGTTTCTTTTAAGCCCTAAAGCACCCTTCTTTTCGTTGCACGTTCCCCAAAATGCCACCCTATATATATAAAAAAAAAAGTGCAGCCAGGATCGGACCGTGCCTGCCTCCCTTCATAAACCACTGCACAGATTTATATATTTGTAAGAGATGTAGTCACATGCCCCGAATCTTTTAAATTGCTTTTAGCTGTATATTTTTAAAGAACTTAAATTATATAAAAATTTTGTTTGTCTGCTTAAGTTAGAAAATGTAAAATATTTGTCAGGAAATATAATTTTTTTAGCGTTATGAATATACTCAAGATAAGAGTCAAGCCGATGATACTTGCCATTGAAAAAATAATTAAAAAGAATATGAGTGAAATGAATCCTGTGACGAATATACGTGTTCGCAGCCGCGCAGTTTAAAGGGAACATTGTTGAGACCGATGGTTATTAGAAGTGGAGGAGTTTTTATGATATGAGAGCGCTTTGAGCTTGCTAGAGTAGCATGGACTCAAGTGCTACACAAGTAATCAAACATCATCATCATAAATTTGTATTTTTTTTAAAAACACTTTTTCTTTTTTCCCCATCATTCACCATCCCAAGTCCCACCTCCCTCACTCCGTGTAACTTGAGCACACACTGTAGGTCAGCAACTCAGGTCAGCAGGAGCCAGACGCAATCAAACTTGGCGAGAGGGTCATGTGTGACAACAAAGTTTGACACTTCAAACTTAACGGATTTTTTAGTAGAAAGAACGTCTTTTTAAATAATATAAAAAAACGTTTTAAAAAAACCCAAAAAAAACAACAACAACTTGGAAGACGAGTTGAAGCCCATTAAAAAGTAGAAAATGATATATACAATAAATAGAAAAGGCTAAGCTTTATATACAGGTTACAAGGAAAGAGTTTAAGTTATGCAATGCGTGTCGTCGGATGTTGTAAAATTTAAGTGAAATCTATTTCTTTTGAGGATTTGACTACCCTTACCATTAACTAATCGTGTGAAAATTCCACGAATTTCAGATTCCAAAACTGCTACTGTGGCATGCAATGTAAAAAATTGCTCTCATTATTGTGTGCGTTTGAATCAAAGCCCGGAGGAACACTGTTATTGCCCTATTGGCACGTCCTTGCACGGTGATGCGTGTTTGAGTAGGTATTTTAACGGATTTAGAGAATTTTTATATTTTGTATATTTTCAACTTTTTTTATGGGTAACTAAGGGAAGGCATTTAGTATTGTTTAAAAGTCAATTTTTAACATGTACATGGTTAATAAGGGATTTTAAAAAACAGTTTTTAAAATATTTTTTTTTTACCGCTAATAAGCCCACCGTCGTTACACTTAAGGTGGTGTGCAACACTTGGAAAGCGGCATCGGAAGTGTCGGGCGGGGTATGGGGGACGTCAACGGTGGTCAAGAGACCTTCTCCCTAGAAAATGTTTCATGAACTGAAGATCTAGGGATGCATTAAAAATTTGCTTATACATGAATTTAAATTTTTTCAATATTTTACACTTAATCCCAGAGCAGCAGATGAGATTCTCGTGGAAATTTGGGTCTCACTTGACCTGGCTGAGTTATACCAATTAATATGTCCAGTTGTTACCAAGAAGTGATGCTGTTTTATGGTTTTTATTTAATTGTTCTAACTACTTTTTTTCATTAACTAAATTAACAAAAGGTTACTGAACTTTTTGTTGTGACCCACAACAACCAAAAAAAAAAAAAAAACAGGGCTAACATCAGTTAACATTTTGAACGAGAATGGCACATACTTTAAATAATTATCTTTTTGTTTGTTACCAAGAAGTGATGCTTTTTTATGTTTTTTATTTAATTGTTCTAACTATTTTTTTTCATTAACTAAATTAAAAAAAGGTTACTGAACTTTTTGTTGTGACTCACAACAACCAAAAAAAAAAAAAAAAAACAGGGCTAACATCAGTTAACATTTTGAACGAGAATGGCACATACTTTAAATAATTATCTTTTTGATTTATTTAAAATTTAAACATTGCCTTGTTTCCCTTCTATTAGATTAAAAAGAACCGAATACTATTTTATAGAAAAGGTTTTGAGATTTTTATGAATTTTTAAAACTAGTCATTTTGAAAATTGTATTTGAATGAAATTATTATCAGTAACGTATATTAAAAGGTTAATTTGGAATTTCAAACCTTTCTTCTACCACAAAGTAATAAACATCTGAACACAAGGCCCGTTTTTTTAAAACCAATCCATCTTTTTAACACCCCCCCCCCCAAATGTTTAGATTTTTAAAACATTCTCGTTAATTTGGAATTTCAAACCTTTCTTCTACCACAAAGTAATAAACATCTGAACCCAAGGCCCGTTTTTTTAAAACCAATCCATCTTTTTACCCCCCCCCCCCCCAAATGTTTAGATTTTTAAAACATTCTCGGCGCCCCCCCCCCCTTTTTTTTCAAAATCACGCGGCGGCTCTAATTACAAGGTTAGAAAGTTCAGATTATAATTTTTTTTAAATCATTTTTTAAAAATAAAAATGATAAATATTACATTTTAATTAGATTGCAGCAATGGAACATTTGGTCCAGAGTGTTCTCTCAAATGTTCATGTGTAGAGAACAACACAGCTTCATGTGACCCAATTACCGGCCAGTGTGTCTGTCTACCGGGATGGACCTCAGATAATTGCTCACAAGACGTTGATGAATGCTATTGGGATTTGTACACGTGTCCAGGCTACTCGCGTTGCAGAAACACACCCGGCGACTATGATTGTGATTGTGACAAATCTTACGGACTTGAAAATGATGATCACAGGACGTGCAAACGTCCAGGTGAGTCTGTGTGTTTACAGAACTTTCTTTTAATATGTTTTGTTGAGTCGTGATACGCAATTTTCTAATTTTATGATATAATTAAGCAACTCATAAAAAGATTTTTCGTATAAATTATTTTTTAAAATGTAACATCAAGCAGTGGGAGATGGGGCTGAAAATGTAACAAAACATGCATACAAGTAACGCAATTTATAAGAATCCCAATTAGTACCCCCCCTCCCCCCCCCCGCTCTAGCCTGGAAACCACACTTTTTTCACGACCCTGATTATAAATTATTTTTTAAAATGAAACATCAAGCAGTGGGAGATGGGGCTGAAAATGTAACAAAACATGCATACAAGTAACGCAATTTATAAGAAACCCAATTAGTACCCCCCCCCCCCCCCCCCGCTCTAGCCTGGAAACCACACTTTTTTCACGACCCTGATATTAAAGAAAAAAAAGAATCTAATTTAGCGGAGTTATCGGGAATTTTATTTTATCTTCCTCATAAAAAAAGGAAAAACTGATTTTTTGGGGTTGGGGATGGACTAAAAATTTGATAGAATGTGTTGTCATCGGTAACGAGTCTATGTGCTAAGTTTCAGCTCAATAGGTTTCCGGGAAGTGGGTTAATTAGCCGTCCGAAGATTTTGCTAGTCAGCCAACCAATCCACTACCCAGTCTGCCAGCCGTTAATATGCGGTAAGGGGTGTAAAAGGGACAATAGTACTTTAATAGATTTTGATTAACGAATATCCTCATCAAGAATTTGACATTGCTTTTACAAATAGCAATACATTGAAACAAAGTTGACTTGCTAATTAAATATTGATGCATTATACATTAAAGAAAGAATCCTTTAAACTTTATAACGTTTATTCTCATCTCTCAACTTGTCGATCACTCAAGTCACCTTAAGGTTTTGGGTCTAAGGGTGAAAAGATGGAGTTTGATGTCAATACATGGATGGTAATTTCTGTTGCATTTGGAGTATATGATAGACTGGAACTTTCCACACAAAAAAATGGCGCTCTATTCTGAAATGCCTCTGAAAATCTCCTGGCTGCTTTCCTTTGAAGTAATGCGCCTATGTGTACCAAAAAACAAAACAAAAAACTCCAAAAAAAGTTAAGAGTTATTTTTGTATTTGTAAGCTCCATTGAATTATTACGGATTGATTGCCAATTCTTTCAGTTAGACTACCAAGAGTTCTTTAAAGCGTTTCTTCTAACCTTCTTAGCACCACTTCCTGTTATGAATTTTTGCACACAAGATGAGCCGCAACATTGTGATGAAGATGTTTTCCGGACTTGAATAAATGAGAAAATCTCTGTCTGTACAATATCACTGTACTTCGATGTGTGTTTTTTTTTATTTTTAAGTCTCATGGTATGAAAGTTGTTCAGTTATTTGGCTAGGTGTTGACCACAGTTTATAGGTGCTAATAGGCTGACCACAGTTTATAGGTGCTAATAGGCTGACCACAGTTTATAGGTGCTAATAGGCTTACCACAGTTTACAGGCGTTGAGATGCATTGGCGGATAAACTGAATTGTAGACTTTCATTTTCTTGAATTTGCTGATGCCTCGCCAAATCAGTATGTTCTTTAAATTAAATGTTTTCAAAGGGTTGCGCTGGCTTTGGCAGCACATGTATTGACCTCTTTCTGAGTTTATGTGCTTTTTCAAAAAGTTTGGGTTCGGTGCCATGATGTCATTTGTTTCTGGAAATATTTCATACCTATAGGCATCCGTACTGTCTGAATTTCCATTGTGACAGTTTCAAAAGCATTTGGCAAGTCAGGTCCACGTATGTGAAGAAGATGTCAACGTTTTATGACCAAAAAAGAATTTTCCTTAATTTAAAAAAAAAAAAAAATGAGTTTACTATTTTATTTGTGTTTTTGTTTTTAATGTTTTACTTTCTTGGGGGGGGGGGAGTTAAAGGCCATTTACTTGCTTCGAGGGACAGTGGCCCTCAAAGAGATGCTTGAAAGAAATACTGAATGGTTCCGGTATGGAAAAAAAAACCACGAAACAAAATACATCCTCTTTTTCGCGACACTTGAGTTAAAATGAATGATTGGACTAATGCGTGTTGGTAAAACAATACACAAAATGAAGAACCAAAAACGAATCACCAAGGTTTTCAACAAGCTTTGTTCCCTTTCTTGGCTACCCGGTATTTTTTGCGTTCGTGGCCCGGTAGTGTTACGAGATGCTGGTTATGCATTGACAATCTACAGAAGTTCTCAACAACTCTACTCATTACCAGCTACAACAAACAAAAAATTTTCCCTTGTATCTTCTTTTAAAATTTTGACATCATTATCACAAATATTGTCAGCCACTATAGGCATCCAAACGCGATCAACACTCTCCACCAAGCTACACAAAATATTTTTTTTTTAAAATAAGCTTTTCACCTCTGACCTTTTATGTAAGACAAAAATCAAAAGAAAGTCTAAAATAAACTAAATGATGTATGTGATGTCTGTGAAATTGTGTTGTTATGACACCTTTCAGTATGTAGGGAAAAAGTACTGAATATATCATAGATTATCGTAATAAGATTAACAAAAATTAAATATTTAAATTATTTGTTTATATTTATATTGTTTTCCCCCCCACACAGAATGTAACCAAACACTAACCAATTCATCCGGAATAATTAGCAGCCCTTACTACCCCAGAACATACTATTATCAAGCAAACTGTACCTGGTTGATTTCTGTAGAGGAAGGAAATGTTATCTCTCTCAGGTGAAAGTTTTTTAATTAATTACATTTCAAGGTATTTCTTTTATTTACGAAGGAGATCCGTTAGTAGACAGGACACGCGTTTTGTTCATTATGCGACGATCTAAATATGCACAAATTGCGTATGTTGAAGCTCAGTCGGTCGATTCAGTCTTCCTCGTGCTGACCTGTAAGCTCACATCTGAGTTTACGACACAGCATTACAGCTCCAGGTTTCTGGTTGCGGGAGGAGCGTTGTGGTTTTCAATGATGGGGAATTTTTAAAAAAAAGATGATAAAAAAAACCGCAATCCAACACATTCGCTTTCAATAACCATCGGTACTAGCTGTAGGATTTTGGAATGGATTGGAGAAGAGCATTTCGGCAATTAGACTCAGTTCAGTAGAAAATACAGTTGCTGATTTTTCCTTTTTTTATTTTATGCCCGGGTAAAGAGCTGTAACAATACCTGGGATTTTTGTAAGCATTGATTGTTTTAAAAAGTTCTTCTTTATAATTATAAATAATTTACATAGTGAAATTTTCATAATAAATGTAAAAAGTAGAAAATGAAAAAATTATGTAAAAAAAAAAAATAATAATAATAAAATAAAAAAATTAAACACTTTAAATTAGAATAATGAGATACTTTCTTTTGAAATTTTAAGCGCACTAAAAGTAAAAGATAATACGTTACCCAAATAAAGTATGTGGAGAAAATATTTTTTATAGATAGAAGAAAACAATAATTTAAAAAAAAAGTTTCTTCTACGATTAATACTATTACTAGGAATTTTTAGGCTTCATGTAGAGCCTTTTTGCCTTTCTGATCATTTTAATGTAAAGCAATAAAACTATTAATATAATCTTTCAATTGTGAGTTTTGCTACAACTGTTCGTAAATGTAGCGTTCGTGAATAGCGAACTTCAAGCAAATAAATAGTTGCTAACCTACTAGAAAAAAAAATGCTTTGATTAAAAGTTATTAAAACTGAAGGTCTGGTGTTTTGTTTGATTTGAGGAAATGTAAATTAAATTCACCTAATCATTTTTTTTAAAACTGTACTTTTTAAAATTTCAGGTTTGATGAGTTTAATACTGGTCCATTTTTGTATGATTACGTCATGTTTTACAATGGTAGAAATACACTTGCAAAAATTATTGGCCGGTACAGTGGCACTCTTGAGGCAGTACCTCATATTATACGATCTGATGGCAACACAATGTTTATCAACTTCATCTCAGATGCTTTGAAATATTCCAATGAATTGGGTTTCAATGCTACTTACTTCTCACATTGTAAGTGGACACAAACGTAACTGTAAGAGAAGTTGCTAAATTCACTAATAAGATTTTAACAAAAATATATACTAAATTCTTGGAGGCACTGGTAAACCCTAATTATCACTTTTTTTTATATTTTTTTTTTTATACTTTAAGTGAACAAAAATATAAGGTTAACAAAAAATAAATAATCATTTTAAATATAAATTTGTTCGTTTTTGGATGACGCAAACAATTTTTATGTTTCTCCAATATGCTAAATTGCTGGCTGGCTATTCCAACAGAGTTTATTATGTAACGCAATGTGGTTTGTCTTTGTAAAGCTCAATTATTCTTGTGCAGGGTTACAGAGGGGATTATTTAGTGCTGGAGCAAGAATAGAAAAGGGCCTACTCACCTACATATGGACACATAAATTAACATGTCATAATTTATTAATTACATTCAAATGTTCTTGCAAATTTATTAAAAAGAGGACATGTATTTCTGAAAAAAATAATAAAAACAAGAATACACTTTAGTATATAATCGCATAAGAAACAGTATACATAAGCAATGAATTTAAACCAGACTGATTACAAGCTCATTACAGTTATTGTTATAATATTTGAGATGCAATGTATTTTAGATATGCCGCCGGGAGAACAATCGATACACATCTGCACTATTTCCCATCACTGTGGACTAAAACTAAACGATTTATAAACAAATTGCACAGTTCCAAAGTTATGGCTTCTAAATGAATTTTGCGACATCAGTTCCACACAAATTAAGTGTGTGGTATCCACATAGTGAAAATAAAAAGCTGATTGACATTGTTCAAGTATTCTTGTTTAAGCAACGTTATAATTTCCTGCCAGCCACGTCGATTCCCTTGTCATATGCCCTTGCAGACAATCTGACAGTGGAATGTCGGGTTCTTTCATGTGTTTCTAATATCAACTGTGCTGTGTCATATCCTGCTTTAAACTTGTTTCGACAAACAAAAATCTGTATACACTTTCATACTGGTTTTTATAAGGTATTACATATAGAAATGTTGTTTGTTCAACATGGAATGAATCTACTGTGGAATCCACAATGACAACAAAGTACTCGTTTTTGGAATCGATACTGAGATAATGTACTTGAATTCGTTATTCCTTTTCTTGTGACACTTTAACTTGCAACTCAATTTTATTTTAGATTGGATCCCAATCAGACAACAACTCCATGCCTCCCAGAAAATTTCCATTGTGTTTTCCCCCATTGAGCCGGGAACTGTCATGCAAAGCAAGCCCCGTTTACCAAGGAATAGTACTACATCAATTATTCGTTTCATAATGTTGTACGACTTGGCAGATTCTGTTTCACATGTCTCCAAAAGACTTTAATTGCCTTTGTTAGATGACAGGCTTCATTCTAGTTTTCACCAAGCCAGATAACATGGCCTTTGAATGTTACTTCTCTCATAGTCAGTGATGCTTATGCATAATGTTCGCGACTTTTTAGCTGCTAACCATCCTTCTGTGGATGCAAGCATAGGCTTAGGTGCAGAGCTAATGCTACAACGGATCATGTTTTAAATAATCAACCAGGAAAGGGAAATAATTCAGACCACACTTGAAATGTTAGAATAATTGTGGAAAAAAACAGATTATCTATATCTTTGGGAAATTCTTTTAGAAAAGCCAGTATGATCTTAGTTATCTTGAAGTCAAACAAGGCTGCAAGGCGATTTTCCTATACACACAGTGTATTGAGTACAAAGTATTTATCCAATATTGTTTTTCTTTTCAAAATTTGGCTTTGTAATAAAGAAATTAAAATGTTCCCTTCATAGGCTTCTGTGAAGCTCCGAGGGTACCTAAAAAATGTACCAGCTGAACCCTCAGTCCCTAGGCCTGTTCTTGTGTATAAAAAAATTCGCAGTGGGTGGAATTGTGTGTTCCCAATAAATATTGCTATTCAGAGTGTAGGTTTTTGGCGCTGAGCAATAATTTATAGCAGGTTAATCATAAAAATGAGCAAATGGCAAGACTATACATAAAATAAATATTAAAAAAGCAGAGTTCCTATAAAAAAAAAGATACGATAATTTTATTGATGCAAATAAATGTAAATGTGTTTTTTGTTTTTTCCATTCTTCGTACATATTATTTTCAGATCCTCGTTTGATTTTTTTTGTTGTTCCTTAAAATTAGTCTGAAATGACTGTATGCAATCCCCATTAAATGTATTTTATGCGTTTGTGAATTTCACTGACATTTATCACACTTGTGGGCCAACAACTCTTAACTGAACAATTTGAAGAAAAAAAATTACAGCATAATGTTTACCCACTCTTTCAATTTTCTAATAAATCTGTACAAAGCAGAAGAATCAAAGACAATCTATCAGTCGTTTCCATATTTAAAATTTTATAACATACAATCTCCCTTTACCCTTTTATCTTAATCCATTTTCTCAGCTTGTCGAGACTCCATGTTTGGTGATACCTGCTCAGAATATTGCCACTGTAACAGTAAAAATACTCAGTACTGCGACAACATCAAAGGGGAGTGTGTGTGTAAACTAGGATGGAAGGGGAACACGTGTTTTGATGACGTCAATGAATGTTTAGGCACCAACAACGCACTCTGCCCCATGAACTCTGACTGCCATAATACGGATGGAGGTTATGAGTGTAGATGTCATCGAGGGTTTTTGAAAAATATCAACAACAATATTTGTGAGGGTGAGTAAACGAATTTATTAATGAAAACTTTATTAGACTACAACTAATACAAGTTAATAAGTCACCTGGACATTACATACCCTTTTATGTGGTTACATACCAAAGGAATTGTGGGGAGGGGGGGGGCTGGCATAAAGGCTTTGGCACTTAGTATCAGGCTGAATAGCTGAGCAAAGCAGAGATTGAAAAAATTCGTGACATTTTTGCTACATCACTAAAGCCTCGTGATAAAACACTTAGAAGTAGAAGCATTATGAACTGATAATGGTAAAATACAAAATAAATTAAGGCGAGGTCAATATCATTACTAACAAGAGACAATCCGACATGCTCAAAGAATTAACCCATTGAATGATTTTCTCCCCTAGTATCATACATGTTTTATAGTTAGAGCCCCCCTTATCTGGGTGCAGTGTTTTAGGTATCTCTAAGGAGGGGAAGGGGACATAATGCATTATTTTGGCGTCGATAAATGTCCCACATACCATCTGAAATCACCCCCCCCCCAACCAATAGTCAGAAAATACTCTGGTTTAATGTGCGATAATATTTAACATTGAAATCGACAATGGCCAAAAAAAAAAAAAAAGAGAGTAGACCCTATATGCAACGGGAACCCTCGAAGAAAGGGGCACTCTTAATAAAATCATATGGTTAAATGGAAAGAGTGACAACAAATAAAAAGCTGACAGAGGTTGGCGGACACAGCGGCAGACCAATAATTCAAACGCCGTCTGAAAGGATACATGAGCCAGAGCCATGGGCGCCCGCAGGTAGTGGCAAGGCGGGTCACTTGACCCCCCCCCCCTGGATTGATTGGATAAAATNTTTTTAAATAAAATTTTTAATTAAATGGGGACAAGAGTGGATTTTGGAACCCAAATAATTTTTTTCATTGGATTACAATGAGAACATTAGAACTTTGAAAGTAAATCGATTTTTTTGCCCCCCACCCTAGAAAGTTTTCTGCGGGCGCCCATGGCCAGAGCAAATAACTCACAATAAATACTATGTCTTCTCTCATTTTCTGTGACTGAGTGGTACTTAATATCAAAGAGAATAGTCATATGAAGCTGATAAGTTTAAAAATCCATTTAAGTACAAATATTCCAAACCTCCAAAGGTTTCCGAATCGTGTCCAAAATTGATCCAGACGATTGAATAAATAAAATTAGAGATATACGTACAGGATACATATCTGTATGTCACCAAGAGATAACAGAATCCTTCTCTAAATGCTTGATTAGATACAAACTCCTGTGAGACATGAACACAGAGCAACAGCAGAAAGCTAGACCACTAACCCATCTCCACCTACGCAGGTTTCTTGGCATACACTGCATGGCAGAACAAAATCCCTGAAACAGAAATTCTAAAACAGATTTCGGCCTTGTCAGCATCCACATGTTTTTAAAAAGACAAGTCCAATAAGCTGGGCATTTGCAAAAATGCCAGATATCACACTTCAAAAAAAAAAGTCAACCTAAACTTGTAAGAAATACTTGCTGTGGATCTCTAAACCTAACGAGAAAAGTTCCACTCATCCCAAAGAAAACACTCTGCAAGGAAACATAAATTACCTCCAATAAGCAATATCGATAGGACCTCCAACATGTGTCTTTCATGCAGTAGAGCTTTTCGTGGACAGATCAGATCCTCAACATTGGTTATCTTCGCATGAAAGGGCGAAAAACACTTATCGTTATTTAACCATTACTTATTTATTTTACTTAATCCCTTAACTATCTCAAAATTCATAAGTCATATACCAAAATAAAAACGCGGCGGCATCTCTCCAAATTTACCTCTTACAGTAATTGCAATGTTTTCTCCATATAATTCTCAACAAAATGTGAAGCTTCAAGAATAAAAAAAAATCGTTAATTTATGAAAAAACGAGTGTCACGAGTGTTAATTGAACGCAGCAGCAAATTATGAAAATGCAACTCTTTTCCCAAGGATGTCTTCCTTTGATGATATATATTATACAAAGGGGCGTATTCTTTTTTATCTGAAAAAGAGAACTAGGACTTTAAGTTCTATATGTTTTAAAAAGTTCGATGAACAATGAGAGATGGGCATTAAAAAAAGATGAGACACATGCATACTCCATAATTCTTTTATTGGCAGCGTATGATGGCTGCTATGAGAAGCAATGCTCACACGCTTGCTATAGAGACGATGATACTGATACGGAGACTTGCTCTTGTCCTGATGGGCTAGAGCTTGATGTGTCTGGACTAATATGTGTTGGTGAGTTGATGGACTTTGTAACTTCTGTACTTAATCGTGTCACTGCGATCTCTAGTATTTGTAAGCAATTTAAGAAATATTTTTTAATTGAGTGATATGTTCATGTTTCTGCCTGCAAATGATAAAAAAAGTCTTAATTTAAAAAAAACAACCCATTATACTTGCTTTTATTTTCCCATATGCTGATGAATTTAGATTTATGAGTCAGGTAGACCTGAAGGTAGGGATTACTTTTTAAATGTATAATGACATTACTTCATCATCTATTTAAATTTTATGATTTATTATTGCATCTAATATCATTGTTGTGTACAGTTCCCTATTACCCTTATGGCCCTGAGGCTAAGGATCACAGACTGAGCCCCGAGACTCATAGCCAATCGTTGAACCAAGAAACCATCTTAGTTAGCACTTCCATTCACTTTAGTTCAGGAGCACCGTTTGGACATTCTGAACAAATGATAAAAGTTGCATTCGTAAGTGGAGAGATATATGAATAACCTAAATATATTAACTGTACTAACAGACATTTTTAAATACATCTATATGATTGTTCTTGAAGTAAATAACTAATTTAGAATTCATTTTAGGCATCAACTATTGTGACCCCGTGAACAAGGTTGCCAACTCATATGTATATATATAGACTAATATACTAAATTCCATCAATTTTACCGACAATGACGTTCATGCAGGACTCGATTGTAAAAACCTGAACCGGTTTTCTTAAAACCAAAAACCGTTTTGCAAAGAGAAAACGGAATTACGGTGCCGGGTTCTTTAAGGGAAAGAACACTATAGAGCTTACCTGGTTCCTTTCCCTTTGTTCAGCTGTAGTTTATTTAGGCTACTTTTTGTAGTGTCCACGAATGCAATTTCTTAATGTCTATGTTTACAACTAATTGTAGTTAGTCATTGTAATGCTATATTAGCTTGGTGCTCATCTTGTATGTTAGAGTGTATTTTTTTATTAAGGTATTTATGTAAAATAAGTTGAGATAAAGACTGTTGCATATTTGTGTGTCTAGATTCTCTATGAATAAAAATAATATTATCTGCTCTGCTTATTAGAAGAAGTTATCCCATCCTTAGTTAATGTATTATACCACTCGTCTCATCGAGGCTTTATGTAGTAGCTATTTATTACTACTACCCTGATATAGGCCTATTCATCTGAGTTCGAAGTCTCACTTTTACCTACCCCCGTGCTATAGCTTAGCAGTGTCTGCTTCTTTATTATATTATTTTTTCAGCACTTATTAATTATTATTTATACTATAATTTATATGGTGATATAAATCATTCAAAACTCTAAAATAAAAAATTTAAAAAAAAGAGGAAGGCCTGACACTCCCTCCCTCCAAAACCCATCCACCACTTAATCTTCTTCGTTCGTCCGTCATAACAATATGCACCAAGGTAATATAACAAAACCATTTTAACGTTACAAGAAAAAAACCCAAACATCATTGATTAACAGGTTTTCTTTTAACATAAATTTATTAAAAGTAGATAACTGCATTTTGATGACCCGATAACTCTGGCGTCATTCTCCCAGGTCATGAGCAACGGTGTGGTAGCGTTTGGGGAAGAAAGCGTTTATCTGCCTGGAAGTCCAAATCTTCAGCATGCGTTTTTACAAGATTTGAAAATATTGGCACCATACTGGGCAGACACTGACCCAAAAATAGGTTTTTGGAGCGTTTCTTTTACGATATTTTTTGCTTTTTTTAAATACATATTTCATAAATACATATATTAATGAATTTTGAAATTATGCTTTAGATCTCCTAAATTGAAAGCCTACACCAGCAGTTATTTATTTTTTTTAAAGGTTGAGGCTACTAGTTACGGTTTAATTATAAATTACTGCCTAGTAAAAAAAAAAAAGGCATAGGCCAACATAAAAACAAAAAAGATTTAAATTGATAAATAAATAATAAAAATTAAAAATAAACTCTCTTATGAAATTAAAATGTAAGCATGTTTAAATTAAATTGAATAATGCATGTACCGTGTGTGACACAAATAAAACCTATATCAATTATACCATCAGTAGGCCTATGGGGGCCATCCATAAATGACGTCACGCGTCTAGAGGGGGGGTGTCAGATTTTTGTGACGATGTGTGACGAGGGGGGGGGGTTTCCTCAAGCAATGTGACGTCACATGAAAAGCGGAATATTTTAGAGCAGAATTGCACGTAATAACCCTAAATTACAGACATTTAAACATTATTCTTTTATACAACAATTATATTTATTTTATTTTTAAACTAAGATCTCTGTCTGATAGAATCAGTAGGCTACAGGTATGGGATGTCCGAAAAATGGCCTCTGATCAAGTTACAGGACACCTGCTGGGAGGAAAATCGGGGTGTAGTTAGAATGACAGTCGTGAGAATGTGTGGCTAAATGTGGAAATGGGAGTCATAGACTTTGGACGAGGGGGCCCACCACATAATATGGGATGGAACGAAAATGGTTGACCGCAGGGAGGGGGGAGGGTTATCTTAGTCTTAGTAAATGCTCTAGGGCAGGGATTCTTAACCTTTGCTTTGCGGCGCTGCAGGCCGACTCCGTTTTAAACACACCCCCCCCCCACTTTACCAAAAATATAAATTATATTGTAATACAATTTTACAAATTTGGGGGGAGGGTTATCTTAGTCTTAGTAAATGCTCTAGGGCAGGGATTCTTAACCTTTGCTTTGCGGCGCTGCAGGCCGACTCCGTTTTAAACACACCCCCCCCCCCACTTTACCAAAAATATAAATTATATTGTAATACAATTTTACAAATTAAATAACTTAGTTATCGCAGTTTTATTTATTTAATTAACTTTCTATAAATACTGTAAAAATTACCAATAAAAGCAATGCGCCAACAATATTCACCAGAAAAACATTTAATGCCGCTAATCAAAAGGCATAAAAACTTCTTTGGAAAAAATAAATCAGTGGCGTAGCTAGGGATGATGTCACCCGGTTCGGAAAGCTCGTGGGGTCGTCCCCCCCCCCCTTCCCGTCTTTCACGATGTAATTTTTCTTTTTAAACTTTGTCCGCGGTATAACATATACAAGAACAAAAACACATTAATTGAAGGTCAAGGGTGAAATTTATTAAAGAACTACAACGAACTTAGAATCGCCCATTGTTATCAGTTTTATTTATCAGATGTTATTATAAATATAGCTTCCTGTCACTTACAAAAGCTACCGAACACTTCATTTGGCGTTGAAACATGGTCAAACATTGTGTTTCTGGCCTAATAATAAGGTAATCTAATTGCCTTGGCATCAATCTTGAAATTTAAATAAAAATGCATTTCGATTGGTTATATGGATGGAAAATATACGTGTCATCTGTTATCCTTTTACGAATTTCGGTTACACCGAGCAGTGTGTGCTCTGTGCTGTGTGCTCTGTGCTGTGTGCTCTGTGCTCTGTTTGGTGTCACCCTTGAGATGGTGTCACCCGATGAGTTCCACGACCCCCCCCCCCTCCAGCTTCACCACTGAATAAAATTTTCTGGTCTTCCACACCCAGGGCTGAGGAGGTACTTTTACCCCTGTTAAGAACCACTGCTCTAGTGAAATGTTTCTCACACAGGTGCAGTAATTTGATATCCACGGGAAGGGAATTTCTTAAGGGTTTGTAAAGAACAGTAGTGGACATAGGGACTTTTTATGAGGGGGGGGGGGGGTACTGACTTTTGTGACGTTGTATTTGGGGGGGGGGGTCTAACTTTTTGTGATGGGGGGGGGGGGGTTCAAAAATCAGCAAATTTGCGTGACGTCATTTATGGATGGCCCCTATCTATAAATAATAAATATGTAATGTAAATGTGTAGGGCAGTGGTCGGCAAACTCATTTGTCAAAAGAGCCAAAAATCAGCAGCAGGACGATTAGATCCAAAAATTGTTGAGAGCAAAATTTCTTTTCAAGAACCATGTTTTTCGGCGTCAAACCCGATTTGTTCCGACTGGCCGAGCCGCTCTCAGGTCGCTAAAGAGCCGACCACTGGTTTGAGGGATCTTAGCTATTTTAAAAATTACAAGTTGAAATTCAACTTAATCTACCCTTTTTATACATATTTAATTTATATTACAAAATTCTTACCTTCCCCGCCTTCCAAAAAAAAAAGAACAAACAAACAAAACGAAAAAACCTAATATTACAATTTAATTAAAAGCCTGGCTAAGCCCTTTATTATTATCGTTTATTTTTCTTTATTTAAATTAACTTTTCACCACTTTAGTCAAGAAGTTTAATGCTTTTTTTCTAAATTAAAAAAATCCTCATAATTAAGAATATTTTTTTGTAATTAATTAGGTCATGTTAATTACCACCTGTATGAAAAATGTGGTCAAGCTGCGTTTGATGGAACAAAAGATGGAGAAACATCCCCACTAAAAGTTCAAATTATATCTCGTGCTAAAAGAGATTTAATGAAGTATTACAGTATGGCTGGTTTTGAGGTCGACTCAGTTTTAGTAATGACGTGGGTAGGAGTCCAGCACTTATCAAGCTCTAATGATGTAAGTAAGGCCTAATCGTAAGCAGAAATTGTCACTTAATAATAACAATAAAAACCTGTCAATTTTGCATGAAAAAACGTATTTGAATTACCATGTGAAAAGAAAAATGAAATTATTTATGAAAATGTATTGTAATAAACATCTCTGATTCGTGTTGCTAAACTTGTTTTAAAAATCAACTTACAAATAATAATAATATAAATGAAGTTAGTCACAAGTATAACTGTTTATAGAAGCGTTGAAAAGGTGGAATCACTTACTGGACTAAACCATTTACTGTCACCATAGGAACAAGAAAAGAATACATTTCAAGCTGTTTTTGTTAGTGGCTGGGAGAAGAAATACCAAGATGGACAAGAACGATTGTTAGGTTTGGCCCATTTTAATATTGTTTGGTTTTGAAATAGTAAGACTTAAAACTATATCTCTTATAACTTATAGTATCTTAGAACTCTGTCATTAATTTACCATATTCAATATTTACCTTTATTTAAAGCATTTTAAGCAGGGAACTTTGTTATAAATTTAATTAACTGAACCATTCTGTTATGCACTAAATTGATTTGCCTATAATTGTATCCTTTTATCAAACATTTCTTATCCTAATAAATGTATTGTATTACATTTAGAAGAGGAAACTTCCTATGTAATATTCTTGTACCAACAAGGACAGATGAACTGGACATACGTAGCTGGAAGACTCATCAATATTGGATTTACTGGGAATATCATGCCTGATACAGACACAGCATTTGTCAGCACACTTGACAAAGTGAAAGGAAACACAGGTGCTTGTAATGTATTGATGAAATATCCTTACTTTTTAAAGTTTTAGGACAATTTACCAGGTTCTAGTAGTGTCATACAAAGTTAAGTTAATACCTTGCTGGAGTTTTGTGAACTTTTAAAAAAAGTTACAAAGAGTTAAACTTTCTTAACAATTAACCTCAATAATAAAGAAATTCTGTTGAAACTTTAAAATTAACATGTTTTAAAATTATTTTCTTTTAAATCAATCATAATAAATCATAATAATACTGCTATTTGATATTGTTAGAATGTTAAGTGTACAAGGTATTATCATTAAAGGCATAAGACGATTATGATTTTAGCCCAACTTTACACAATAATGTTTTTATTAAATCAGAATAATGTTAAAGGTAATAAACTTCATTTACAGGATACAATGGTGTATACTCGTACCAAACTGGCAAATCAAACAGCCCGATACAAAAATGCCACAGATATACCTGCAACAATGTAGACCTGATATCTGACCCTGTGTATGAGAATGAAAAGAGAACTCTGTACAAATGCCCATGCACAATGGAGAGACTGGGAAGACAGTGGCAACTGTTTGAAAAACGGGGAGAGCACAATGATATACATTGTTATGCCATAAGTCAAGTTGCAAAGTCCAGACTTCTTGCAAGCAACAAGAGAAATAAAGTAATATTAATTTCTCTATAAATTTTTAGCTATATTGGCCTATATTTAATTTACATTATTTTTTTAATTATAATTTCATGAATAAATGATTAAAATGACTTCCATATTAATAACGCATAAAAATTGGAGGGACTTTTGATTTTTAAAAATATTGTCAAACGTTCCAATTAATGAGCTATTTAAATAAGCATGTGCAAATTTAACAAAACTCCATTGCTTGTTCTTGCTTTTACAGCTGTGTTGCTACCAGAGGGGTAAACCCAAAAACCCAGAAGACTGGAGAGATGTGGAACAAACAATGAGAGATGCTTCATATGTTCCAGCTTCACCTGTGTCTGGCCATGTTCTCATCTATGAGCCATGGTCAGGGTATTATTACAATAACGATGCAGCAAGAGAGAACATAAAGACACATACAACATGTTGCAAGAATTCACCTAAAGAATTGTGTGAACGGTTCTATAAAATATTCCCTGACATGGGTTGCACAGACTTTGTAGAGTTTATCCCTGGTAAGAATAATAATAAGACTTTGTAGTTTGTCACTGGTAAGAATTATAATAAGCATCTTGTTAGTACTATTGCTGTATACTCACAGGTACCATTAAAATTTAATAAGACCATTTATTGCTTATTGGAAATAATGATGATTTCTTTCATCAAATTCTTTTACATGTTTATACATCATAATCACGAACTGGGGCTGATATTGAATTGTAATAAGTAATAATCTATAAAATATAGCTAAGAAATGTGAATTAAATTTTTAAAAAGTGATTTTTCTTCTACACATAATCATAATGACTTCTACAGCTTCAGCGCTTGGTGAACCTCACATTACAACACTTGATGGAGTAACATACACTATGAATGGATGGGGAGAATACATACTGATGGATGTAAAATCTGAGAATTTTACTCTTCAGGTATTCTATTTTTCTCTAAATTAGATTACACTTTTTTGCACATTTTTATATCATGAAAATTTAGTAAAGTAATTTAATCTTTATTTTATTCAAGCTTGTGAAACAACTTATAAAAGAAAGAAAGCAAAAACAAAAAATTTCAATCAATTATGCTCTTATTTTCATATTTTCACTTGCATACAAAATATATGTCTGGAAAAGTACATAAATTCCTGTAGGTAAATTTTTTAAAGTTTTACTTTTGCTCTTTAATTTTGTAATTTAAAACAATAATTAGATCATGATTCTTTTTAGAAGATCAATACCAGATGCTTAAATAAAATCATGTCTAATAAAGTTTTTTTCAACTGCTTTAAATGTAAAAGCTGCTTAAATTGCTGTTTAATTATCACAGAATTAAATATGAGATCAAATTCTTTTTATTCAATTATGTAAGGCCAGAACAAGTATAGTTGAGACCAGCAATGGTACTCTAGCTAACGCTACAGTTTTCACAGCATTTGCTGCCAGGGAAGGAGATTATGCAAAACTCCAAGTTGAACTCTCCCCTAACAATAAGTGTAAGAGTTAAATACAAAACTAGATTTTCTTATAAATGCCTTAATTATAAATAATGATTCAGTATGAAATTTATGTTTCTCTTCGAATGTACTGATATTATGATTATTTTAACAGATGCTCACCTAGAACACTGTTATCTGAAATATTTCAAATGAAAATTTGGAGCTGAAATTTAATTGGGTACTGCTGAAACCAACATCTTATCTTATTGTTTGTGTTTTATTCCATTACAATATATTTCTACTCCCCAAACCCAAAAGCTTCTATGAAAAAAAAAGTAGGAGTGTAGTTTTAAATTTTGTTGATAAATTATAATTTTAACATATTGTCGAAAATTGGATTTTAAGCCTACACAGCAAACTATATTTCAATATAAATATCACTCTTTTAATTATTAAATTTTTAACAGCACTTGTCATCTATGTAAATGGAATGGATATAACAAATGACTTTTACAACGATCAAGAATTTCATACAGAGCTTGACATGATTTCTGTACTAAGAGAAGACAGTGCTAACAGAACTTTAGTAATAACAACATTCCAATGTGGTGAGTTTTATTAACATTTAATGTTTAACTGAGGATACATTTAAAAACTTTACCTTTTAAAAAATTATTCTTACACAGTCTGCAGCTGTTAATTATATGCCAAACTAACTTAGTTTATATTTAAATTTTACCAAATATTTAGCAGCATTAGACTGTATAATTATGATAATTAATGACAAAGAGAGAATCAACTTTTTATATCAACATGAAAGGTTTTTACATACAAACAAGAAAATTAGCATAGCTTAAAGGCTTTGATCCTATAATGCTAAGATTTTTAGCCTTGTTTATCTTTGATCTGATTCAAAACTGCCATCAACATGGCTTCTCCTTACCCCATTTATGCACATAGCACATCACTTGGCTAAAACCATCCTGATTGTTGTTAATCAAACATCAGGATAACAGACATCCAGATATATTGTTTCTACTGTTCACATATTTTTTAAAGTTAGTTATAAATTTACATTTTTTAGATTATTACATTTCAGTTTTTTTCTTTAATCGTCAAATTATTTGAACTCTGACTAAAAAAAAAATATGTATTTAAGTTACTTAAATATTTTTACAATGATATCATTTTTTAAGATTTTCAATGCTCTATTATCCAGGTGTCACCATCAAGGTATCTGTAGCTGTCAAGAGTTTGGACATAGAGCTGGAAGTTGATGTGAATCTTAAGAATAAAACTTTGGGTCTTCTTGGGAATTTTAACAATAATACTTCAGATGAATTTACCCTTCCTGATGGACTTGTACTGCCCTGCAACATGTCTGAAAGAGAAATATATACTTTATTTGCAAAAAAATGTATGTTTGAATTGATTAGATCTAATTTAAAGTTGTAAATTATAAATAAATAAAAATTATGATTTATACAAATATAAAATACATTTTGATACAAAAATAAATGTATGGAAAAAAATGATTTTAGCAGCGTAATTTTTATATATATTTATCACTTCTCAACACATTAATATCCACATTTTTAAAATTAACATATTTTTAACCTAAAGGGGAAGTAACTGAAGTTGACACTGTATTTGTGTATGGAAGGAGAGAGAAACCAAGCAACTACCAACATCATGAGTTTGTTCCCTTTTATACTGATCAAGCTTCTCCACAAGATGTTGCTGAGGCAGAAGAATTTTGTGGAAAAAATAATTCCGCTTGCATTTTTGATTACATAGTTACTGGAACTGTAGAATTGGCCTTGACTACAAAAGAATCTTTTCTCAAAATGGAATCCAAGGCTATACAATTAGGTATATGTATGAAACAACTATTATTAATAAATTAATTTTTTTGCTGCATTAATTTGAAATAAATTATAAAGAGTACGCGTAAAGAAATTGCAAAGATGAAAATAATACATTTAATTATATGATGGAAGACACAATGTAAAATCTTTGTTTTTTCAAACACATATCTTAGAAGCTCTTTATTGACACTTAGCATTATTTAAATATCAAACATGAATATCGTGAACTCAAATTTTGCTAGTTTATTATTATCAGAGAGTTCTACTTTTGTGCATAAATAAGTCTCAATATGCATTAGTGTTCACAAGAAAAATTTAATCTTTTCTGGAATTAAATAACACAATTTTATTAATTTATTTAAAAAAAAGAAAATTAAAAAAAAATTTAAATTAATATTGGGAACTTTTCTTTAGCTTCTATGTCCTTTATCTTGCAATTCCTGCAAATGGATCATGTTTCATTAATTATTTAATTATTACATTACGTTCTGCAGAAAACAGTCCACCAGAATTAAGCTTAAAGAATGGCAGTTTGAATTCATTTGGTCACTGGGTTGTCACCGAAGGAGTACAAACCACTCTTGAAGTTTCCACTAATGATGAGGATAATGATGAAGTCCTAATTGAAATTTTAGCCAATTCTGGTGATGCAAATGTTAAAAATAAGAGTATTATCTACACACCTAATATCAAAACGCCCTTAAAACTAGGGTAAGTTAAAAAAATATTTTTTTTAAAAGATTTTATAAATCTTATTCAAATATTTGATTTGATTTGTTTTAATATCTTTTTTGTGCACAATTAACTTTATATTAAAACTGTAATAAAAGAGAAAAAAAATGGAATTAAGACCATTTGGAAATTCTTAATATTTTTTACCATGTACCATTTAACTCCAGAAACTCTAGTAAGTGCATAATCACAAATGAATAAGATAAATTCAACAAGATTTACATATTTTAAGCTGATGTGTGCTGATACTATAATTATATTTCATAGCAAACTCACATAACACTAAAAATGGTAATATTTTAGGTAGAGGCTTATTGCAAATATTGGTACGAAAAGATATAAACACTTTTGAGTCAGTATAATAAAATCTTGGGATCAAATAAATTCAACTTTGTGTTCATTAGCTTGCATAATATATGTTGAGACGCTGTGTCATGAGACTATTTGGGTCAAAATGCTGTCAAATTTGTAAACTGATAAGTTTTATATATAAAAAAAATAGCCTTTTTATGTAGAAATATTTACGAAATTTTTAAAGAAATTTTAAATGTGTATTTATCAACTGGATAGTAATAAAACTGTTAATTTTAAACTCTTGTGTCCTCAGTGTGAGATCTAAGGACTCCAAAGGTGCTTACAGCTCTATAGTCTATGTGACTATTGCTGTTTGTACTAACTGCAATGGACATGGACAATGTACTAACAGCACACGTGACACTGAATATAGTGATGGACATTTTCTGATCTACAAATGTAGCTGTTATTCAGCATATACAGGTACAGATTGTTATTCAACATCAGCTTAACTTGTCATGTTTGACTGAAGAATTCATTTGTTTCATTTCAAATTGGATTTTGAAACTGGAAAAACTCCTCAGATTAAAGTAACATATGAATAAATGATATTTTACACAAATTAAAAAGGTAAATTAAAAGATATCCTATAGTTGCTCTGATCAAATATAAGTTAAAATTTGTATAAACAATTTTTGTGACTGATATTTTTTTTTTAATCAGTGGGAATAATATTTCTTTATTTCCCTAGTCAATTACTTACCTCTACAAGGTAAAAGGGGAAATTATGGTATTTTTTGCAAACCAGGTTACCAAAACCTGGAGGTGACATGACTATTTTTGTGTCTTACACAAAAGAGGGCAAAAGACTTGCAAGGGCAGACTTTAAAGAGGGGCTACCCCAGTATTGCAGTACTCCTGAGGGAACTCTTACAAAAAAAAATTGTATTCTTTTAAAGATAAACTAACATCTGTTAAACATTTTTACTTTTCAATTGACAAAACCCAGTATTACTCTACATACTATGACAAATACTTAAAATCACTTCAAACTTACATCATGTCACTCACTGCATATCTGTTGGCTGAAAATAGAACATTTTACAGATTAACGCTATAGTTGAAATTTTGTCTTCATGCAATATTGTGATTTAAATTAGAAATGATGTTATTTGTCATAAAAACATCCTTTATGTTATTATATGGCATTGTTCAATGAAAACAGCAATTTAACATTTACTACCAGGTGCTGACTGTGAGTCAGAGTTGGATGCCTGTGCCAGTAAACCATGTTCTGTAGGACAGGAATGTACAGACTTGACAGCAGCTCAACAAGGGAATAATATCATAGGATATGTGTGTGGTCCTTGTCCTGATGGGTACACCAACTATAATGGAAAGTGTGTGGGTAAGTAATTTTAAAAATTGTTTATAAATGCTATAAAAATATTTTCAGAGTATTATTTTTCATTCAAGGCATACGTTTGTGTAAATTCAAAGAATACATTTAAAAGATTTAGTCTCAAACTATACTTTCCATAATTAAATGCTGAACTTGTTTCGTCATTTATACATTTGTGTTTGTAAATTGAAATATTTAATCTCATTAAGTTTCAAATCTAAAAATGAATAATGTTTACTTTTACACCTACCAGTCAAAAAGTGGGACAAACTTATGACTAATCAGCCATTGTTATACACCCTATATGGTTGAACCCAAGTTACCACTTTAAAAAAAAATCTGAATCGAGTTTCTACTGAGGGGAAAACTTTGCAAGACTTTTATCAGTAGGAACATAATCACACCTGAGTGGTTTTTATAGTTGGAAGGTATCATTGGCCATATTTTTAAAAACGTGGTCTATTTCTTATATACATACTAATAATTGTCTTTAATAGATATTGATGAATGTAGAACCAATAACAGCCTATGCCAACACAGCTGTACAAACACTGAAGGGTCGTACTTGTGCACTTGCAGAAATGGTTTTAGAATTGATCCTGTTCACAAGAAAGCATGCATAGGTATGAACAAAATGGTTTTAAAATTAATTCTAATCACAAGAAAGCATGCATAGGTATGAACAAAATGGTTTTAAAATTAATTATAATCACAAGAAAGCATGCATAGATATGAACAAAACACTTATTTACCACTTTCACAATAGTTAAAAGCAAAGAAAAACTATTTGAAGTTCTATTGTATGCCTAACTTTCATAAAAGTTTTAAAGATGTGACAAGGCATATGTGTTTTCAAATAGTTGATTCTAAAAACTTAAATTTTATGTGGTCTCACAAAAATAGCACCTAATATAACTCTTCCATAGTATTGAGTTTTTTTAATAGTGTGTCCTATGTTTAACTTAAAATCTCAATACATTAATTACAATAGGAAAATTAATATCTGAACGTTTCATCCTATCATCATAGCATAGATTCACTGTAAAGATTTTATATTTTAAATGTTTATTTTTATTTGAAGAATTAACCTAAGTATTTATAATTGGTAACTCATTTTCTTTTAATGATGTGATTTAAGACATAAATGAGTGTGAAGAACAGACATACCGATGTCAACACAGCTGTATGAATACAGAAGGTGGCTACAATTGTTCTTGCCGGGAAGACTATGATATAAAGCCAGATGGTTATTCTTGTGAACTTACAAGTAATTTTTCAAAATAATTTTATTGATACATATTATTTGGGACTTATGAAAGAATTTGTTTTAAGTAAAGAAAAAAAAATTTGCAGCTGTTAAAAATTTACTTGATAACAAGAAATAAGTTACAAGAGTTTGCTTAAAAAATATAGGTGTTTCCATTTTTTTAAAAATTTTAATTAAGGAGAATTTTTTAAGCACATGGGAATTAGCTTTTGCCCTTGCAATCATTATCTTCTTCTATCTTCTTCTATATTTATTGATCATTCTGGCTCTTGGTTTGAATTCAGAGTTTGTCTTCTCCAAGGCTCAGTCCCATCCACCCAGGGTGCTGCTGAGTCCACTCCACCCGGGGTGCTTGGGATGTTTTTGCTTGCCTTAGCATTGGTGGGGATTTAACTCTAGGCCACCAGCAATTTGGATTGAGTCATTTTAGACTGCTCGACCACCAAGCATCCTTTTAGATTAGTTAGCACTGATGTAAAAAGAGAAAGGCTTTCCTGAAATTAACATAAATTTTTATTTCAGAAACTGATTATATGTTTCAGGTTCAGGTGTACAGAAATGCTCTCATTGTCAGCACATTTGTGTATTTAGTAGAATAGATAACATAGCAACCTGTATATGCAAAAAGGGGTATTTTCAAGATCCAAATAATGATGCAGAGTGCCTAGGTAAACAGTCTTAGTATTTTCTTTAAATGTTTTAGTGAATGTTTTTTTTAAATTTATAATTTTTCATCAGAACTTTAAAATTATATTCCATTTGCTTGAACTAAATAGTCTAAAAATAGAATTTAAAAAAGTTGTAAGACCAAAAATAATCACTCATTAAAAGTGATAAATCTTTTTAAGTGTTGCCATAGATTAAAAAAAAAACAAATGTTAATTTTTCAGACATTGATGAGTGTGATCTTGATAACATGCCATGCAGTCAGGGTTGTAACAATACTGATGGTAACTTTAATTGTTACTGTTACCCTGGTTTCAAGATGGAGTCAGATGAGGTCTCCTGTAAGGGTGAGTGTAACTAAGAGTTTCTTGTATTGCTGATTATTAAAGATAACTAAAATTTTATTTTAAGAGGCATAATTTTATTTTCTTAAAAAGATATTGTAATGTTACACATTACATTAGATAGCCACACAGAAATCTTTTTCCAATAATTCAAATATTGAGCAGAATTTTTATAATTTTTAAAAGAATCTAAACCAGAGAACTTATTAAAAGCCTGAAGCTCTTTTAACAATATTTTGTTTGTAAAAATATTATAAAATTAAACATTAAAGTGCTCTTGAAATAATAATATTAAAACTGATTATTAAAGTTTAAACCTTACTGTAACCTTTTTGAAAGCTTTTCTTGTTTTTTTAGTCTGATAGAAATACAAAATATTTAAAAATTTGGATTATGAATTTATACTGTCTTTCCCAACTACATGAATGACAAATCTGACTAATTTTTACTGTGATATATCAGTTTGTGAAGTTCCGTATTATGGAGATAATTGCAACAAAACCTGTGATTGCAATGGCAGAGGATCATGTAACACAGTGAAAGGATGTGTTTGTAATGATAAGTGGACAGGGGTCAATTGTGACATAGATGTTGATGAATGTGCCACACCAGGTGCCTGTCCTGAAGGGCAAATTTGTGAAAATACCAATGGATCATTTACTTGCTTTTGTCCAATAGGCTATATCATTGAAGGAGTTGTATGCAATGGTATGTAGCTCACAATTATTCTTGACTTTTAAAATAAATATGGTATATACATTTTTAAACATTTTTTTTTAAACTAAAAAAAAATCAAACTTTTTAATGTGAAATTTAAATATTTCTTCAGATGTCAATGAGTGTCTAAGTCCTCAGACAAATGGGACATGTAATCCACATAATGAAGCTTGTATTAACACTGTGGGCAGTTATAGCTGTGAGTGCAAATATGGATATGCTAGAGATGGTAACAAACTTTTTCAAGGTAAGTATTTAAAAAAAAACGTAACTATTGATTAATTACTTTAATTTTCTTTTAAACATACAGATAAGATATTGAAGCTATGTAAAAGAAAGCCTACTACACATTGGACAAAGTTATTATACTAGAAGACACAGCCATTGAAGCAAGCATAATTAAAGACAAGACCAAAAAAAAGCAATATGGATATTAAGTTGAAAAAAATTATTTGAACTTTTTTTTTATATCATGTCTTCATATATTTTACAAATAATGATAAATTTAGTACTAAATATAATAATAAATATAATTAATATTATAATTTTATTCAATAGAAATAAAATAAAAACAAATATCTTCTAATTATGACAGTTATAGCCTTATTCTTTAATTTAAATTCTAGAGTAAGATATTTTAAAAATAATATCCAAGATTTTACTTATTACTAAAAATTAATATAGTAAAAAGTCTCACTAAAAGAAGCTTTAAATAAAATTTTAGTTTTGCTGGTCTTTTATTAATAAGCAATTCAAAAGTCCATAAAATAAAAAACACTTGAAAAAAAGAAACAATTATAAAACTTAATAACATTCAGCATTAAAAAATGCTTAAATCTAAATATATTTTGTTTGATTGTGAGCAAATGATGTTTTGTTATGAATATGTTTTGAAAGTCACTTTTTTAAAAAGGATTTTGATGAAGGATTACATGTTTTCATATATAAATTATGAGATTCTTAATCTGAAAATCATTTTTTAAAATGCTTTTATGGTGTAGGTCAACATTAATTTAAAAGCATTCCCAATTTTTGAATTTCTTGCAATATGATTTTATAAATAAATTTGCATTTTCAATTTATTCAGACTTACCTTTTTATCATTTTTATTAACCATAGTAAATTAGGAATGATCATTTATTTACATTTTGAAATGTCAATATACAGACATTGATGAGTGCAAGCTTGGCAGGGACAGATGTCAACAGTCATGCCACAATGTTGATGGGCGTTATAATTGTGAATGTGAGGCTGGTTACATACTTGCTGAAGACAGACACAACTGTGTAAAGGGTAATTTTTTTAGATCTGAGATCAGCCTTAGTGACTTGGATGAATTATTAAATTAACTATTGAAAATTACTTGTTTACAAGTCTGTTACATACAGTTACATTGTTTTTGCACATTTAATCTGTTTTAAATTTTGTATCATTAGAGGAACAAGGTGTAACAAAGGACTGAAAACCAGTATAAAAAGGAGGCAAAAACAACAAAGCTAGTGATTTTCACAATATTCAAATTAATTATGCTATTAAATTTATATAAAAAATACAAATTCAATAATACAGAAATAAAAATTAGATTAGCAAATGAAAAGGTATAATCCATGAAAGATACAAATATTATATACACCACATAAAAAGTATACTCTTGTAAGGCTCATATAAGTATGGTACATCTCGTGCCTAGAAAATTTGTCAAAAATCTCTTTCCTGGCTGGTAAAGCTGCCGTCTTGTTCATAGTTATGGGTATAGAACCCTCCAGATAAGAAATTCTAGAAATTGCTTCACCCAATAGCATTTTTTAGAACAAATTTTTGAATGTGAAAAAACCTTTTCTCAATCAAGGGCCGGGTGGGCAATTAGTTCAGTGCTACACATTTAATTGGTGTCGCCAATATAAAGAAAGGTGAAACAAGTGTTGGTTACATCATCCCCACATGAGACTTTCATAAAGTGACTGAAAACGAAGTAACTTATCACAATTAAAGAATGAAAACAAAAATAAAATTATCATTAGCTTATTGAATGTATTTGAATAATAATTAAATTGAAAAAAACAACATATTTAAGCATAGTTTAATTTTACATAAGCATGGAAGTCAAATGTTGACAGCATCGCATACCATAGGAAAGAAATGATACACAGAAATGATACAGAAGTTCTTAGACAGTCAGATTCAGAATAATTTACATAATTTCCATTGCACATATTTCTTTCAGTACAAGACCTATGTGAAGCAGAGAAACTTAATTGTACACATGGATGCAGCATTGATGATAAAGATCAACTTTACTGTATTTGTCCCCGTGGATACAATTTAATTGAACAACATACTTGTGTGGGCAAGTAAACTTTTTATTTATTAAAGTTAATTTTCAAGGAACAAGAAAAAAAAAGTCCCTTGAAATTTCAAAAACTTTATTTGACTAGGTATTTAAATTCATCTGCTTCTGATTCATTTCTGCCATTAATGTTTTACTGTTTAACTTCTTATAGGACCTAAAAGAAATATATTATTGAGTATAATATGAATGTATATTGTACATTATTTTATTTGATGTATGCCTTTACTTTAATTTGCATATGTTGAAAATTACAACAGATATCAATGAGTGTGCCTCTGCAGAGAATAACAGCTGTTCATACAAACTTGGGTGCAATAACACAGATGGTGGCTACAGTTGCTCTTGTCCTGCTGGTACCAAGTTGGATAACAATGGTCGAAATTGTTTGGGTTGGTTTTTTTTCCACAGCTAAATAATTATTATGTCATTGCCTTAAGTAAGCTTACTGTTAAAAAAAATAATACATTTGCTTTTTTTTGTAAAAATACAATTTTAGGTCATAAAGTACCTTTCACCTTTTTAATTAAAAAGTAATAAAATAAAAAAGGAAAACAAAGTTTTCTAGCAGTTTTATTTCTGCTTGTTGAAGTAGGTTTTATTGCACTAGATTCTAATATGACTATAATTTCACAGCATGTTCCGGAGACACCTGGGGTGTAGGATGTTCTGAAGAATGTGCTTGTGGGATAGGGGCTGAGAAATGTGATCCAGTGACTGGCTGTATTTGTCAGACTGGATATACAGGTAGGTTAAGTACTAGGTGATAATAAAATGGATTTAAAATAAAAAAATGGTTTAAACCAAAGATATTTTCAACATTCATATAGTATTCCAATGTATATGATGATGGGCTTAATCTTCCCACCCATAGGCTGAAGCCAGCCCTAGGAGCAATGGGTTGATTAGGTTGGTCCTGGCCAAGTCAATGTATGAAAATCTTGATGATGATAGGTTTAACATTGTATCTGAAGATGATTGAGCATGAAGTCCTCTGCCTGGGCTAATCCTAGTTATGATTGCCACGACTTATTTTCCAGGGAGTGACTTCCCTTTGTTTATTTTTACTAAATTAGTTTAGGGATCGATTTAGGGTTTCAGGTTAGGCATAGGGATAGATGACTTCACATGAATTGTTAACCGAGATGGCGGCCATTGAGAAAATAGTGGCAATTGTAGTCAAAATTTACCCTCTGCCTGTTTTTGGAGGCTTTTAAGTAGCTAGAAAAATGCAGTTTCTTTAACAGCTTTTATAAATTGTAATATATTATATAGTTGTTGTACCTAATTTCCTTATTGCACATTTAAACAAATGTATTTACATAGGAGAGCACTGCCAAAATGACATCAATGAATGTTCAAATGTAAATTTCACCTGTAGTGAAAAAGAAGTTTGCATCAATTTACCTGGCACAGCCATGTGTATTTGCCAGGATGGCTATCACTTTGATGTGTCCCACCTTTGTGTGGGTAAGTCTATTTTTTTTTCTATTAAAATACATATTTAACTAAAATGTCAGTTTTCATATGTTATAAAGAGTGCATGAAAAAAAATACATGATAGTGTTTAATTTATTCTTCAGATATCAATGAGTGCACTGGTAACCACAATTGTACTCAAATGTGTACAAACTCTGAAGGTTCATACAGTTGTTCCTGCTATGCTGGTTACACGTACAATAGTACAAGCAACACCTGTCTTGGTAAGGTTATTTTTAAAACATAATTCAGTATTAAACCACATTTTATGTTTTCTTTAAGACATTGCAAATCATTATAAGGGTAATTATACTATTAATGACAAATATCCTAAAACTTGCCAAATTTAGAATCTGTTGACTTTTAAAAATCTTTTTACTATCATGTTTTTTTGAGTATGTAACATTTCCATTTGTCTCTTTCATAAGAGTATTTTCAGCTTCACATTATTGTTTAATAACTGGTTAATTTATTTTCTATCCAAAATATTAGTGTGACAGCTTATTAGTCTAAAATTGTTACTTTTTTTCAACAGACATAGATGAATGTAAATTAGGGAACCACCAGTGCGATAAAATCTGTACCAATACAGAGGGAAGCTATAGATGCTCTTGTTCAATAGGACTATTTTTACAAACAGATGGTGTGTCTTGTGGAGGTTAGTTCTAAGTAACTATGATATTTGTGAACAGCTGTTAGTGCTGTAAATGTTGATTTAAGATTTTTTACCAAGCAGCTATTTATAATCAAAACATGAGATATATATTACTAGTTATTTTTGTTTGCAAAGTATATTAAAATTTCAATTTAAGTGAAGGAGAATATTTAATATAAATTTGTACTAAATGAAACAAAATCCTGGGTTCGCTAAAGTTTCTTGAAGCTGATTAGACCTGGATATGTTGTATTTATGAATAGCATTTTCATTTGAAGTTTGCTTGATCCATTGCCCCAGTGATTTCCAATCTTTTTTACCCCACAACCCACTTGAGAACGTATAAGTATTTAATACCCCTTCACCATGGCATATCCATGTTGCCATCAGGAAAATGGAATTTCAAATTCACTGCCTGATTAAGCCTCATGGTATGATAAAATACAAGTGAAATATATTTTTATAGAAATAAATGATTAAAAATAACAATTGTTAACGATAAAAAAGTCTTTACATTGTAAATCAGTGGATTAAACTGTTTTTATTGACAAGTAGCTTTAGTCGTAATTTATTTTAGACTGATCATCTTCAAAATGAGATCATTTTTCTGTCCTTTTTGTCATCAATTGTATATGCATTAGAGTTTATTATTTTATAAAACCATACATAAAAATGTGCAACTTAACAATATTATTTCCCTTTTTCATCAGCTGACAAGCCTTGCACTAATACATCATTCTGTAGTGACACCTGTGCCAACATTGATGGTGCTGACACTTGTCTCTGCGGCAAAGGAAAAATCCTAGGAAATAACAACATGACATGTCAAGGTGAATAAAGTTTTTAAAATATTTTCATCAAGAAAAAATATATTTAAAGTGGCCAGTCAAGCAAGGGGTTTTAATGGAATGTAAAAGAAAAAAAATTATTTTTAAAGTGACATTTAATTTAATGTTTTAAATTTATTTTTCTTATTTGGGATTAATCCAATGTAGTTTTTATAGTTTCTTGAAGCTACAACTTGTTGCAGCAAATAAAAGATTCCATTATAAAGTGCTCATAGAAATGTTTGTGTTTAATTTGACCATTTAAATAATTGTTATTGATATTTTTTCTTCTGTAGAGAAGAGAATGTTTCCCTGATATTAAAATTGTGATGTGTATTTTGAATAATTTTCTTTTAGACGTGGACTTGTGTGAACTTGGTTCATGTACTGAAGGATGTGTTGAGACAAAAGGAAATACAAGTTTTGAATGTTTATGTGACATTGGTAAAAAATTGGCAGCTGATGGAATCACTTGCACAGGTAATTTATTATTTTTTTTAATTAGCTGTTGAAATTTAATTTTCCCCTGAACTTCTATCTCAAAAACAATCATTGGCATTTATATATTCTGTTACAAAATCTTTCAGAGTGCATTATTGGAAAGTATGGAGTGAACTGCAGTAGAAAATGCTCATGTGACATGTCCCACACTGATTCATGTGATAACATTAATGGGGCATGTGAATGTGCAGCAGGCTGGAAGGGAGAGAACTGTACTGTTGATATAGACGAATGTGCAGATAATTCTAGACTATGCCAAGATCATTCACACTGTGTCAACACAAATGGCTCTTCTTTCTGTGCTTGTGATGATGGCTTTATTGAAAGGGAAAATATTTGCACAGGTACTAAATAAAAATATTTCAGAAAGGCTAACGATGTTGTCAAGATTTAAAAACACCAATGAAGTAGGAAGAATGAAATTTCAAACTAAGAAAATTAGAAAGAAAATGCTCTGTAAACCCATTACCCATAATGAGTAAAAGTAAATACTTTTTAAAAAACAGTAAAAAAAAATTGTCTCAACTCCCAATTATTTTTTCAAGGCTTAAGAAAAAAAAGGTTAACAAAAAATTTTAAATAAATATGAAATATATTTACAGGTCTATTGTTTTTTAAATAAATATTCAGAGTATATTATGAGTAAGTCTTAAAACAATTAATTGAAAGTATAATAATTTCCCAGATTGTGATGATAATTCTTATGGACCAACTTGTAAGTTTCGATGTACATGTGGCAAAAATTTCAAATGTAACAAAACGACTGGATCTTGTTACTGTAAACCTGGATGGGCAGGAGAAGACTGTGACACTGATATTGATGAATGCAAGGAAACAATTCACAACTGTAGCTCTACCCAGCATGAAGTTTGTGATAATACAAATGGGGGGTACCAGTGCAAATGTGATATTGGCTACTCAAAATCATGCAAGTTATGTGTATGTGAAGGTATGTTGTAATATAATTCGTAACTTGGTTTGCAGGTGAATTAATCTTCTTCAATGACAGCTGTTTTTTTTAAATCTAAAAATTGTTTAATGTTTGTGTTTTTAAAAAACATGAAAAAAACGCCTCAGGATCTTAAGTTTCCCAAAGGCCCACTACACACCTTAATACTTCATTAGCAAGAAATTACTCCTTTGAAAAGCTTGGTGTTGAAGGAGTTTGAGACATTCTGACATTAATTATGCAATTGTTTTTTTGGTCAATGATATTCTTTGGTTATTTAGATTAATTTAGCCTTTACCAGAATATTTTTATAATAATAATATTTTTAGTTTGAAACTAAGCAAGCAATTATTTTCAGTGTGCACAATTCACCTATTTTATATTTTTATAAGAGTGTCCTCAGTGGAAGCATGGAGAAAACTGCATCAAGGATTGCAGCTGTGAAATGGCCAACAGTAGATCTTGTGATAAAATTAATGGAACTTGTGAATGTAACAATGGCTGGAAGGGAGACAATTGTGAAACAGATGTAGATGAATGTGCTGAGAAAACCTTTTCATGTAGGACAAACTCTCACTGTGTCAATACAAATGGTTCTCACTTGTGTGAGTGTGATGTTGGTTATTTTGAAGAAAGCCATGTACCAGGAGACTGCAAAGGTAATTAATGTAACAGTAACCATAAGGGATCTTAAGAATTAAACTTTTTAAATATCAAGAATCGAAGATGATAAAAAGTTACATCTCCCGACAACAAATTTTTTTCTTTTTTTTAAAATCAATCATCATAGTAAATCAAATTGTTTCTATGAAGTCTGCATCAATTTTTTTTCTCCAAAGAATGTAACCGCTGGGCGTATGGTGATAATTGTACCAAGAATTGCTCCTGTGTAATTGCCAACAGTCAATCTTGTGATAAAATTAATGGAACTTGTGAATGTAAAACTGGATGGAAGGGAGTTAACTGTGAATCAGATCGAGATGAATGTAATGAGAAAACAGTTTCCTGTAAGACCCATTCTCACTGTGTCAACACAAATGGTTCCTACATGTGTCAATGTAATGTTGGTTACTTTGATGGCAATCACACAAATGGAGAATGTAAAGGTAGGAAATGTAACATAGATACTGGCATTAGATTGCACTTTTCAATAAAGGTTTTTTTATGGATAAATATTGCTTTGGTTATTTTGATAACATAATTAGCCATGATTCTGTAATGATATTTTCATCACGTACATTAGTACACAAGTAAAGTCATTTTAAAATACATTACAGATATAGATGAATGTACACAGAAATCTGTGTCCTGTAAGACCAATGGGCACTGTGTCAACACAAATGGTTCCTACATGTGTCAATGTAATGTTGGTTACTTTGATGGCAATAACACAAATGGAGAATGTAAAGGTAGGAAATATACTTACTTTTCTGTATACTAGGTAACTCAAAGAACCTGAAAAAACACCACAGTATAATATGTTTCACAAATTGTCAGAACAAACCTAAATCAGTGGCACTACAGCCCATGTAGGGCCGTGGCCTGCTTTACCACATCCTTCCACTCGGAGCGATCCATGGCTTTCCGTCTCCATGCTCGAACCCCCAACTAATGTAAATCTGTCTCCACATCATCAATCCACCTCATCCTTGTGCGACCGGTGAGTCGTCTGCCCCTAGGCTTCTTCCTGTATATAATTTTGGCTGCTCCGGCATCCTTTCAACATGAGCTGCCCAGCGTATTGTGCCTTTTTTATCATTGTGACTATGGGTGGTTCTTTGTACAAATAGTAAAGTTCTTGGTTTGTACGTATTCTCCAGGTATCATTTTCTATCACTGGTCCGTATATTTTGCGGAGGATTTTTCTCTCCTTTGTGTTGAGCAGGTTCTCTGCTTTTCTGGTGAGGGTCCAGGTCTCACTAGCGTACGTTGCTACAGGTCTTATGATGGTGGTGTATATTGTCTTCTTTGTTCTGGTGAGAGTCCAGGTCTCACTAGCGTACGTTACTACAGGTCTTATGATGGTGGTGTATATTGTCTTCTTTGTTCTGGTGAGGGTCCAGGTCTCACTAGCGTACGTTACTACAGGTTTTATGATGGTGGTGTATATTGTCTTCTTTGTTCTGGTGAGGGTCCAGGTCTCACTAGTGTACGTTACTACAGGTCTTATGATGGTGGTGTATATTGTCTTCTTTGTTCTGGTGAGGGTCCAGGTCTCACTAGCGTACGTTACTACAGGTCTTATGATGGTGGTGTATATTGTCTTCTTTGTTCCCCTTTATAGGTTTTTGTTTCCCAGTAGCTTTTGTAGACTGAAATAGGAACGGTAGCCTGCTGTTATCCTTTCTTTCACCTCTGTCATTATCTCATTGTGCTCATTTATAGTTGCCCCTAGATATTTGAATGTAGCCACTCTCTCAAATTTGTGGTTGTTTATATTGATGTTATTATCAGCATGGGAGTTTCTTAACATTATACCACAGTATAATACGTTTCACAAAGTGTCAGAACAAACCTAAATAATTTATTAGTGAGAATTGCCTCCTTTTAAAAGCTTGTTGGGCAAGGAGTTTGAGACATTCTGACATTAGTTATGCTATAGTCTTTTTTGGGCAACAATATTCTTTGGTTATGTAGATTAAATTAGTCTTTACTGGTATAGTTTTATAATAATATTTTTAGTTTGAAACTAAGCAAGCAATTATTTTCAGTGTGCACAATTCACCTATTTTATATTTTTATAAGAGTGTCCTCAGTGGAAGCATGGAGAAAACTGCATCAAGGATTGCAGCTGTGAAATGGCCAACAGTAGATCTTGTGATAAAATTAATGGAACTTGTGAATGTAACAATGGCTGGAAGGGAGACAATTGTGAAACAGATGTAGATGAATGTGCTGAGGAAACCTTTTCATGCAGGACAAACTCTCACTGTGTCAATACAAATGGTTCTCACTTGTGTGAGTGTGATGTTGGTTATTTTGAAGAAAGCCATGTACCAGGAGACTGCAAAGGTAATTAATGTAACAGTAACCATATGGGATTTTAAATTATTGAGTTTTTTAAATATCATTTATCTACGATAATAAAAAGTTATGCCCTACAAAAAACAACAGCAAAGCATCAAACAATTATCATAGTAAATCAAATGGTTTCTAGAAGTCTGCATCTTTTTTTTTTTCTCCACAGAATGTAACCCCTGGGCATATGGTGATTCTTGTACCAAGAATTGCTCCTGTGTAATTGCCAACAGTCAATCTTGTGATAATATTAATGGAACTTGTGAATGTAAAACTGGATGGAAGGGAGTTCACTGTGAAACAGATGTAGACGAATGTGCTGAGAAAACATTTTCATGTAGGACTTATTCACATTGCATCAATGTTATGGGATCATTTGCATGTGAATGTAATGACGGTTACTTTGATAAAAAGAATGAGTGTACAAGTATGTAGTAACCATTATATCTTGCTAACATTTTTAGTTTATAATTATTGAACTTAAAATAATTTTAAAATTAATTTAACAAACAAATTGAAATTTGCTTTCCAACTTGTCCTTATTAATTAATAGTGATATTTTATTTCATTTTAAATTAACTTCTCTCTTACTTCATGTATTCACTTGTAAATGCATTTAGTACAAAAAAATTATGGAAACTTTTACAATGAAATAATTAAATCAAACTTTTTTTTTAAAACAGAAGCTGTACTGATAATATCAGTGCCTTCTACAATAAAACTAGAGTATAATGCATCTGGTAAAGATTTGACTGACCAGACTTTTAAGGAGTCTGTAGGAAAAGGGGTTTGTTTTCATTTGATTTAAACTTTAAAAAAAAAGTTTAACAAGCTTTTAAAAGATGTAATTTTTTCAAACACAAATGTATGTAATTGAACCTGAGAGGCTTATTGATGCTTTTGTACAACAAATTGTACGACCTAAAAACCAAGAAAATAGGCTACATATATTTTAAATATTATATCTTTATATCAGAGAGAAGATGCTTGATCATTGTCAGAAATTGAATCTTTCTGATTGGTACGAGTGGATAGAAAAATTAAAATTAAAGCTCTGGGCATAGTAATTTTAATAGCTTTGGAAATCAGATTTCCGAAATAATGTTTGATGTGCATAAACTAACAATGATTATTTATGAGATTCTCATTACCATAACCCAGCAGAAAGCTTTACTTGACTCAAGTGAGATAAGAATTTCTTTTCTTTGATAGATAGTTGAAAAAAATTACCAGTTTATTAACAACATAATTTATTAAAAAAATATTTAAAACCTGAAGATGTCTGAGATTAATGAACTTTGGAATGGTATGATTTTTTCCTTGTTTCAGTTGTTTGAGTCTTTGAGAAAGTTTAATCAATCCATCATATCAGTGACTGTAATTACTCTGAGGTAATTTCTTGCATATTTTTTTGTGCATTGTATTTCATTTTACCTTTTAAATGCTATAAATTAAATTGATAATTATTCAAGCAAAAATATATCTTTAACAAAACTTATTACATTGCATTGATCAGTCAACACAATGCTTATTTAATTATCTTTTTCATTTTAAATAAAGGGTATTACACTTAATTTTTTTTATTAATTACCTTTTCATTTTATGTCATTTTTAATGTATTTATATATATATATATTTATATATATACATTTGTTTAATAAAGCTTGCGCAATTCATCTCCACAGTCTTGGAAGCCTTATTGTTGATAGTAATATAACAATGGAAACTAACAATATCAATGACAAGTCAACTGAGATGAGCTTAGCTAAGGCTTTTTTGGATATGACTAAAAATAAAAGCGATATTACAATAGATGGAGTTCCTTCAGCACCAGAAATGTTGAAATTAAATGGCTATGAAAGTGAGTTAAAATGATGCTTAAATATTTGAATCACTTAACAGTGCACTAGAATAGATTAGATTTTCTACTGCTTGTAAAATGAATATTAACTTCATCCACAGAATCATATAAACGGAATTTATCGTAAATGTATAAAAACAAATTTTAGAAATAAAATCTGTTAATTCATAAAGTTACAAAGATTTGGTTCACTAAATTTGTCCAACACTGTTTCTTTAAATTTGATATAGTTGTTAAAATATTGGGACACATCCATGGTTAGAGAGAAAGAGAGAAAGGAAGTACTAATGCTCATATGACAAGAAGACAAAAGTTACTATAATTACATCAATGTAATGGGTGAAGCTCCGTATACACACTCAACACAAAACTTTCAATCATTATTCAACAATGTAGATATCAATATTACACATTTATTTCACAATTAGACTAAGTGTATTTACAACAAAGAAATCGGATGAAATAATATTTTTTTGTACAAAATGTTTATAAGATGTGTTTTTAAAAAAAAAGCTGTTTATTTAAAGAAAATGTTCTTAAAATATATTTATGAGGTTTTTGGCCTACATTTTGGGATTCATTTTTCTGTTCCAACCAAAGAATAGATGCCAAAAAACATGAAATTCCTTGAAAATTTTGGTGGCGCTTTAAACTATTCCTGAAAATAAATTAATCTAATTGTGTGTATCATTATGTATCATTTTCTCTTTTATACTGTTAGGAGTCCTATAAATTTGTTCATGTCCTAATTCTTTGGGGAGGGGGGGGGGATTTTTTTAATTGGGCTATTGACAGCCAATGCTTGCATGTGTAGACCTGTATTAAACCCCACACTCACACATCTCTATCAGTGACAGACAAAGAAATTTACATGTCTATTAAACAACAGCTTTTGTAAATTGAACATCATTGCAGTTTTCTCTTTAAAAAATAAATAGTTGTTTGATGCCCCCCACCCAAACCCCCCTCCTCTCTTTTTTATTTGCCCATTTTTAGTGCTATCTTGATTTGAGGCTTCAATGTATACATTCCACCTGTGGGATCAAAATCGTTAGGAAAATTTTTTTTCTAAATGTGAAACAGCATGAAATACTGTACAGAAAAACATGAAATGTCTTAGCAATACAATAATGGCAAATAGGGCAAATAGATTTTAATACCCTCTTAAAAATTTCTGTTTTATATTATTATTTATTGTGATTTATAATTATTAATTTTTTAAAAATCAAGTACTGAAAAGTGACAAATTTTGTGATGTAATGGAAAAGATACAACCATGTTCATCGTCTGAGTGGTGTTCTGATGATGAAAAAGCTTGCATGTGAGTTCATTTGTTACACTGAAAAAATTTCATGTAATCAATAGCTTGCATTTATAAATAAATAATCCTATAAATTTTTAATAATTTAAAAAATAATAAAGCATTTTTTAAAAAAATGTTTACTTAATATCTTTAACCAATATTTATTTCAGTGTCAGAGTTGCAAGAGGTAGGACATTTGTTATAGATTTGATACACTCTTTAAAAAAAACCCCAACCTTTTTAATGTTTAGTGATGTTCAAATTTTAATGGGTTTAAGTAAATTACTCCCAAAAATTGCTTTACACACTGTATTAGTTTAATTTCTTGGCCGGTTTCATCACAAAAGTTCATTAAAAATGGAATCACAGGTATTACTCTTAAACCTAAGCTAGAATCTACATTATACTTCATGCTGTACTTATTTAGCTTAATTTTAAAGAATCATTAATTTAATATTCCTATGATTAATTCTTATTCAGAATCTCTGAATCTAATCCTTGGCTTGAGCATTGGTTTATCTCTTTTTGTGCTGCTTTTCACGAGTGTTGGTATTATTGTTTGTTGTTGGAAGAAGAAGCATTCTGTGAAGAAGGTAGAATGGAGTGAACCCAGACATCTGTCGGACCACCAACATCAAATCAGAGGGTTAGTAATTAATGCGGCTATTATTATTAGTCAATGTTTCACACATTAGCTAGCATTGAGTTGACCTTTCTATAGATCAAAGTTATAATTTAAAACTTTTCTTTATATTTTAATTTATTTAAATTCATTTTTAAACATTTTTTTTACATTTGACACTTTTTAGTTCATTGATTAAGTTATGTCCTAATTCAAAGTACATAATTATTTTTATTGCTATATAAGTATATTATCTTACATATATATAATTTTGGTAAACACATTAATAACTATTTAAACAAATGCAATTTCTAATTTAATTTTAGATACAAACTTTTACTTCACAAAATATTTTATCTTATGATAGATATTAAAAAGAAAAAAAATATTTCTTTAAATTTAGGCCTATATTGGATGATGCATATCTCCAACAATCCACAACAAGAAATGACGATTATCATGGTCAGACACAAAATGAGTATCTTGAAATAAGTACTGGTACTTGGCATAGCAGTAAGCAAAATGTTTAAATTCTGTTACCCTTATTTAAAATGCCACAACATTGTCAGATGGTTACATTTTAGACATGGTGAGATTTATAATTATCAATTAACAAACAAGTAAACACTTTTGTTGAAAATTGGATTAAAGTTTGATATTCACCTACCATTGCCGACATATCAAAATAAAAATTTAAACCAATATAGGCTAATTCCAACTGCTTTTAGAATGGTGTTAATATTATATTGTAAAAAGAACTAGTCACCCCTGCTTCTAGTTCTAGTTCTTCCTGGACACTCACAAAAATACAAGTACCTGTGAAACTCACTAATACATATATCTACAGAGAATTAAAAATCTTTTCTAATTGTTAGATCAAAATGCATAAAGATAAGTATTAAAAGATTGATTGTAAAAATACTTTTAAGAGAAGAAAGAAAATGAGTCTTGTACAATGTGGGGATGAAAACAACAAAATGAATAAGAACGAAAAAATTAAGTAGTTTCAAACTTTTTCAGGAATACTGGGTTCTGGCTAAGCGAACTGAGCCATGTCTGTCAATGTAGTGTCTGAGATGTCATGAGAAATGATTGCTCCTAGGCTAAGTTGACTGGTTTTTAAGGACATTGGACCATGTTAGTCATGAGTCATAACCAGTGCAATTTAAGGCAAAATGAATAATTTTTTTTAAACAATGAGGAAATCCCATTTCCAGACATAAATAGATGATTTAACTGTAAGAGTGAAACCATATGCTTTATCTTAAGTTATATTTTTTTAAAAACTCATTAAAATGCTCCATCCATTTCCATTGCTATCCAAGAAAATAGCATTTTTGTGACTGTGCCTTCTTATATGGCATGGTTAGAGCATGACATAACAATTGATGGAGGATATCTGAAATTTGCATCAGCTTAACACCATTAGCCAACAACTTATTTTAATATGTGAAATGGAAAAGCCATATATATGTATTTAATGAGTGCAGGGGTTTGTATAGGACATACCCCATGGCTTTGTGAAATCTTAGGTAGATTAATTTTCATAAAATGTCTGTCAAAGAGATTCCCACTTATTGGGTTGCTAACTTGGGGGAAAGCGCTTCAATGTGAATTAGTCATTTCACTCACGCCTTTGTTGAGAGTCCTTTTATCAATTGTTATAAATCAGATGTGTCTCTCATATTATAAAATATCGACAAAGAATTTTGAATAATAATGATAACATGAAAAAATTGACCACTTCTCAGAAGAACTACAAAAGTTTAATAAATTTAGATTATTTACTATTTTAAAGTAATTTAATAATTAAACAACCCATAAAAAAAGTTTTTCTTATCAATCTTTTATAAAATGTATTATCCAGCAATGGGGGCTGGGGCTGAAATAAAAAAAAAACATGCATTTAAGTAATGCCCGATATAAGAATCCCAATTAGTGACACACCGCCCCAAACCCCGCAAGGCTTGCAACCGCACTTTTTTTTACGCTCCTGAGCTATATTTACATTCTAATGACACACCTGCTTTTACACCGCAGATTTATTTATCCAACTACTTCAACAAATAAAAAATAATACATAAATATTACGCACCAAACGCGCTTGCAATAATTTTTTTTTTTTAAATCTCATTTAATGCAATTATTGGGAATTTTATTTTATGAAATCAGTGTTATAATATTGCCTTCATCTTTCCTTGAAAAACAGGAAAAATGATTTTTCAAGGTTTGGGGGCTGGGGGTGTTAGAATTTGTTGTCATCAAAATCACGTCTATGTGCCAAGTTTCAGATCAATAGGTTGATGGGAAGTGGATCAGTTAGTCATCCGAAGATTTTTCCAGCCGCGAACAAAAGTGAAGTTAATTATAAAGGATTTAAAAAGAGCAGTGGGTAGAGTTAAGAAAAGGAGTTATAAACCTAAAAAAGAACTTCCATTAATTGGCATAAATGAACCAATACTTCAAGTGTTTGACTTATAGGCTGTCGATTTGACTTATAGGCTGTCGATTAAAAAACATAGCTTAAAATTGTTGCATGTCCCTTGTTATGTTTTAGTGTGAATGGTGCGTTTAATTATTTAAAACCTTTGAGGAATGTTTTTAGTCAAGGCTGTGTGACATAATTTATGTATTCAAGATGTTGTCATTGTTATGAAAAGGGTGGAGATTTTTCAAATAAGCAATGTGTTTGGTTATGGAAGAACATCTTTAGTGAGCTACACCATAGATTATGAATATTTGTAATGAGGTCAAATCGTTATTAAAAGATAATCTTCAAATAAGCGTGTATTGTCCTCAATCCTTACATTTGATGTTTGCGGAAAACTGCATTTTCCCCAGACAAATCAGAGAGCTTAACCTGACACATTTTAAAATTAAGTTGACACATATAATGTGTCATATAATGAATGGTCTTTAGCGCGCAATTAAAAAAATAAATAAAATTTAGGCCCTGACCTCAAAAGAGAACATATATATTTTTACAGGTGCTCTTTCTTATCAACATCCAAAAACAAGAATTGCAAGCCCCTCTTCCATGTTTCCTTCTGAGACACCACTTGATGGACGTCAACGTGACACCAAATACAGAGGTCACCCAAGGTATTGGTAGTATTTTAAAAAAATAACAACTCAGTTGCTAAATTGTAAACATTTAAACACGAGTTACTTCATTTCAGCACTAGTTGCTAGAAAATAAAAAATCCAGATATGTCCAAATTGTATTCACATTATTTAAATGTAAAAATAGTTTGGAAAACGAAGGAAAATGTGAATATAACATTCAACTGAATTTCCTTTAAGCTATCATAAATCAAACAATTAAACAAAATATTCTTCATATTTCTGTTATTTTATTAATATGTAGGCAATATTTGTTTTAATTTTGATATAAATCAAAATCTGCATTGGTAGTCAAATATGTTTATAGCTTTTATGTTAATTTATCTGAAATGGAAAATATTTGTAAATACTCATGCCCCTTTAGTTTTCTTTTGTTGGTTTGGATGTTTGTTTGGTAGCCTTTTTTCCAATAGTAATTATTTTAAAATTTTTTTTTAATTAAAAACATAGTAACATGTCTCTATAAACAATTTTAGGCAGAAAGAAATCCAAGCATAAATTTAATTTTAATATTTCAGAAATTAAAGACACAAAAGGAGGCAAGGGCCACATGTGAATTATAAGAGAATTTCTCAAATGATGCCATTTCAACAAACAAGTTTTTATAAATAGTTTATTAAATACAAATTCTACCATGTAATATAAATTATTGAATGATACAAGACCTGTTTACTCTTAAGATTTCAGCGTACAATGTAGGATTTTGAGATGTATACATTATATAAACTGTATGTTTATGTTTTACTAATAAGATAATGTATTGAACGTTTTGTGATGATATTGTATGATTTTGAGAGTTTGAGGGTAAACAGGTCTGCACTACAATAAAATGTTAAATGATGCTTACTTAATACAGAAGTGAGTTTATGTTCTGAAAACAACAACTTGTTAGTTTTTGGTAAATGTAGTCCTAATCCTACTCCCTGAGTCAGCTGCAGAGGCTTACTGAGGTTGTTTCAAAACATGGCATGTTCTGTGTTCGGCACAAAATCAGCTGGCTGTAAAAAAAAATTTATTAGTCTACTTAATTTTTTTACTTCATAAGAATACAAATAATGTCTCTATATATTTCTATGTTTTAATTAATATTTTTTCTTCTAAATCTTAGTGAGATAAAAATGTGTTTTTAAAGTGTAATGGTGGTGCCATTTTATTTCTGGCCTTAGGTGCCATATGATCTTTTTATATTAACTTCGCTTTTGTTCGTGTGTTTGTTTAAGGCAAAATCTTTGGACGGCTAACTGACCCATTTCCCCATCATCTTTTCATGTCGAAACTTGGCACATAGACTCGTTGCAGATGACAACACATTCTTTCAAACTTTTCAGCCCCACCCCCACCCCCCAACCCCCCCCCCAAAAAAAAAATAAAATAAAATAAATAATAATCAGTTTTAACACTACTAGATGCCAATGATTTCACAAAATAAAAATCCAGACAACTGCATAACAATATTCTTTAAAATATCACACGTTTGGTGCGTAATATTTAGTTTTCTTTAACAGAAATAGTCAGTATAATACATCTCAGTGTAAAAGCGGATGGGAAATTAGAATATGATCATAGTTCAATTGCGGGGAAAAAAATATGCTGTGGCAAGCCTTGGGGGTGGGGTGGGGTTGGGGGGGGGGGAAGCACTAATTGGGATTCTTTTAAAGTGCGTTTCTTGAATTAAATTTTTTTTTCCAAATTTTTAGCCCCACATTTATTGCTCGATATTACATTTTATTAAAGATTTATAACAAAAACTTTGTTTTTTTAGGGGTTGTTAGTTTATTACCCCTCTGGTCACCAGTGTTTGAATTTTGTGTTATCTCTTGTATACTTTGATTAATGCTTTCACTTCTTAATTTTATGACCTATTTCATTTACCAGTCTTAGAGTTAGATTAATCAATTGTATTACTAATTATATGAGTTTTAATATCCTGTGATAGTTTTAGGCCACCAATTAAAAACTACTTTTTTGACAATTAATTTTTGTCACTGATTTTCTTGTGTGCTTGCTTGTTGTGTATGATGGGATTTGGCTGGGAAGGGGGGATTGCGTGCCTTTAGTTTTTTTAAAATAAATAATTTTTTTTTAAATTGGAGGAAAAAAAAAAGGGTGGGGGGTTTGGCACATTTTTCGTGCCTGCTTCATAAAAAATTTGATTTATTTTCCTAAATTATGTAATTTATTTTTAAATCCTTTTTGTCAACTTTTCTGTTGTTAGTTGTTGTTTTTTTCCGTATAAAATGCAAAATCTTCTTCGGCTAATTAACTCATTTCCCGTCATCTTATCAAAATGACGGTTGGCACATAGACCCATTGCCAACGACAACATATTTTTTCAAACATTCAGCCCCCTCCCCCCCCCCCATTTTTTTTCTTCATATTTTTTATGGGGAAGATGAATTAAATATGACTTGTTCAGTGGGGTCGTGTTTTGATGTGGAGATTTTATCAAAATGACGGTTGGCACATAGCCCCATTGCCAACGACAACATATTTTTTCAAACATTCAGCCCCCTCCCCCCCCCCATTTTTTTTCTTCATATTTTTTATGGGGAAGATGAATTAAATATGACTTGTTCAGTGGGGTCGTGTTTTGATGTGGAGATTAATTTTGTGGCTGTTGCTTTTTATTTTGTATTTCTGACGCATTTGATTTTGGCATGCAGTAAAAATAAAATGTATTTTTTGAAGGGGAAAATAAAGGAGATACAAAACGTGTTTTCAACATACGTTTACCCATTGACATAAAGGCTTCTTAATAAATGATAACTCACGTACAGTTATAGAAATGCAACCAAAAAAAAAAATGCATAAAAAAGGATTTATACGAAAGACTTTGTTATTAGGGGTTTTTTGATTACTCAATATTTAATATTTTTGAAGGGGTTAATACAAGTTAACAGGTTCATTAAAAAATTGTTTCTTTTTAGCGTCATCCCTTCTAAAATTTAATAATGCCTTGGAATAAACAAGTGTCCCATGATCAGGTTTTTCTATTGTCGCGATGAAACTGATGCAGCACCGCACGATGTTTCATGTGATCTAGACGAGTGAATTCCAATGAGAGTGCTGGAGAGATTCGCTCGGTTCTGTCTTCATGAGACAAACCAACCCCATGGATAAAACGCACACAAAAAAAAGTCGTTTAATGCGTAGCACAAAGCTTCAGACGGCGTCGTTCAGAATGCAATATGAAAAGGCCATATTGTGTAAATCATTTTACATACTTTAAATACGAAAGAGAGATCTGTTGATTGGGGGGCGTGAATTATAAATATAAACGCTGCAAGAATTAGCAATAGAGTAATAATAATAATAAAGTTTATTTGAAAATCACGCTTCATTCCGAAAGGCTCGAAGCGCGGTACAATGTCAACTATATTAAAAGAGGAATGAAACAATCTATATTTTACCACATTGAAATACAAAACTCAACATTACAAAAACTGCACACGAGCATAATCATTCTAAGTCTGTCATCCCTTGAAACCATAAACAACACAAGCCGATATACATCTAGGAGATAATAGCTAGCTGGAAAAGATGGTAGACAACATCACCCACAGCAGGTTTTTTGCGAAATAGATGTGTTTTTCAAATCGGGTTTGAAGGACTCCAGTGTCTGGCAGTTTCTGGGAGTGACAGGAAGGATGTTCCAAAAATTGTTGTTGGGCCAGCAAATACCAAAGTGCGCCTTTCGCAAGTCTTAAGGCGAACACGTTTGTCATCGTGGTTAGTACGCCTTTGCAGGAGGCAGTTGGAAGATTAAAAAAGAAGTGTTTGTTGTTTTTTTTCTTTTGGTGGAGGGGGGCGCATTTAGTCTTTTAAATGGGGATGTATTTGCATTAAACGCATTGAAAAGAATTTAAATTTAAAAAGAGTGTGGAGGCAATTTAAGACAGGACGAAGGGGAGACTTAAACCTTTTTATAATTTCATTAATGTCTTTGCGAAAGGGTGGGAAAAACTGTTCAAGAGTAAATGAAATGCTATTGTAATTGGTGTTACAAGTCTGTCTTTGGGCAGCTTACCATGACTTATTTACCATGCATATTATTTCCCACTGTTTTTGGATTTCAGTGTTTTAAATAAAAAATATTATATCGTAAAGAATTTAATTAGTTTAAAATCATTTATTTTATTCCCCTACCAAAAAATTAAATAACAACATCGATTTGAAAGCGCAAGTAAAATAAAATAAGTGCAAGTCACAACAATGGACTCGTTGGTGGTTCAATATTTTTAAACTAAAATTTGTATTGGTGTTTTCCAAATCGATAAATTTAAATTAAGCACACGGTTCTGAGACAGAATAGAAAGGTTGCGAAATCAGGACCAAAGTTTCTTGTCATTTGTGAAGGTGATGGGAGGCACTAACATGGGACAGAATAATATGTGAAAGGAGACATTTAGAACTGAAGACATTTTATTTATATTTATCAATTTTTATACCAAACTTAACAAATTAAAATTTTAACTGTTGTTTAGTGATTTTTTAAAAAAAATCGTGTCGAAAATCCCCTGAAAATATATGTATTTCCCGTATTTCTTTTCTAAATGTAATTCCTATATGAATATGTCTATTGTTGACCACATCGATACACTCGGGCGGATCAGTCAGGTGGATTCTGTCGGTCCTCACGATTAGGAAAGTCTTCGCACCGACACAGTTGACCCATGACGGGACAGTTACTGTCCAAGTACAGAAACCAGCCAAAACTGACCCTTTGAAATAACCAACTGGATTACTCGGTACGAAGAATCCTACTGATTCTGCGTTTTTAGACTGGAAAAAATTGTTCCTAAATCCCATAAATGTCATTGCCTTAAAGGCCCGGACCAAATTTTTTTGCATTCCAAGTGTACAGAATAATCCAAATGTTTCAAAGGAAAATATGGAGTTCCAGGAGACAGTACGTGGTGGGGAAGAGACAAAGAGTGAATCCTGATTGGATGACATGATCAATATATGAATCCTCAATGGAAACACTCTGCCTGTGATCAGACATGAAAGGGTGTAGAGTCTGGATCAGGTTGAGAAGAAGGGCCAAGACAAACCAATAAAAACACCATGTTCAATATAAACAATAACGAAAAACACAAGAAAAACTCAATATTGATAATTCGTGTTTGTCTGGAGATGTGAGCTTAAGATGAATTTTGAATAAAATAGATAAATATATTGAAAATGTACCATCGCTGCGCACATTGTGAAGGGAAAAAAGGGGATATCCAATTAGTTTTTATTTTTAAGTATTCATATTCTTAATCTGTGCACTGTCAAAGTGTAAACAAGACAAACAACACGAAATAAAACCCGTGTTTTTTTCCGAAAGATGAACATTCCACTCTAGTAGACATCAATCACTTGTACTAACATCGATATAACTTTAAGTTGCAATGGCGCAGATGTTGAAGTCGGGCAGAGACAACTCTAAAGGTTAACATAACTTGAGATGCTGTTTGTCTTTAAAACAAATTGAAAGGAGACATTTTGTGTAATTATGACATTGTACACATTCATTTTCAGCAAAAAGATAAATATCATTTAAAAACAAAATCAGTTTAAAACAAGAACAATTTAACAC